AAGCTTTGGGATATATTTATTATTCAGCTACCTTTATTTTATTCATGTTTTGGGATGTTTTTATTATCAAAATGCCTTTAGATTATTCAATATATAGTATGCTTATTGTGATTTTAGCATGCCTATTTCCTAGGATGGCCAAAAAGAGAAAAGGATATAAAGATTGAAGGAGAAGAACATATCCCCCCTTATCCTAAGGGTCCTTATTTCAGTTGGACCGAGTCTCTCTATGCTATACTCATACAATGCATACTATAGTTGGTTGAGAAGCATCAAGTGGATAATGACAACTTCAAAAATGGAGCTTTTACCAATCTTGAAAACATGATGCACCAGAAGGCTCTTGGATGTGGGGTGAAGGTTGACCTGAACATTCGATTAGGCACAAGAAGCTGAAAAAGGACTTTATGGATGTACACTTGCTTTGTTCAAAGAGTGGTCTTGGTTGGGATGAGGCAAGTTTCACACCAATGCTTGATGATGATGTTCAATGATTTGGTGAAGGCAAAGTCCTCATAAAACCCCCTCTGTATGAACTCGTCAAATCCTACACGGAATCTTTCTTCTTATGTTGTGTTCATAGAATAGTGTGTGCTAGAAAACTCATGTGTTGTCTTATTTCTTATTGTTGTCTTATTTCATCCTACAAGTTAGTGAATCTTTGAACATTTTACACATTGTAGGTGCATATGAATATCAAGAACCTCAACATGAAGCCCTTTCTGTAATACAATGAACTTCTACATATCTTTGGCAAAACGGAACAGAGGCTAAAAAAGTAATAGGTGGACTTTCAGATATGGTTGACTCTCCTCAAACAGTTGTGAACTTGGATGATATGATCCTCTTATAGATTTAGATGAACATAAGAGCACGAAAATATTGGAGGGCATTATGAATGACAGCATTGACCAACGTCTTAGGAATACTGGAGGAGAGCATGTGCCTGATAGACCAATAATTACACATGCTTTTACCCCTATTCTTGAGCCGTTTGAGAGGTTGACTCTCGTGTTTTAAGCCGATTTCACGCGAGGTTGTGTGTTTATGTCGTATTTCATGACCCGACGTTGGAATCGAGGTGAGGAAACGAGTTTTGGGTCGAAAGGAGCGAAGTTGGGTTGAAGTGTGCTGGAGAGCAAAAATACCCGGCCATGAGCAGAAATACCCGATCGGGTATTATCTGGCCATGACCGGGGATTTTCAGCTTGGGCGTCGTGAGAAACAGAAGGGGTCTCGGGCTGGAGGCAAAAATCCCCGACCGGAGATTATTGGCCTAGACCGGGTATTTTTCCCTGAATCAAAACGCACGTTTCAACTATACCCGGTCGAGACCCAAAATACCCGACCGGGTATCGCGACCCATTAAATTTTGCTCTTGAGAACGAGGAGGAACGCTTCTTTTTTGTGAAGAACTTCTTGTATTAGGCATGTTGTATGGCAGAATAGAAGGGACAGTTAGCGTTTGGTAGTCATGTTTAGTAGAACACATGTGGCATGTTTGAGAAACTTTATTTTTTGTGCAAAGTTAAATCTACTAAGATCTAGCATTTCTAAGGTGATTTCTCTAGGAGGAGTAGCTTGCTTTTGGTGCAGTTTCATAAGTATTCCAACATGTGTACTAATATTAGGAAGTTTATTTAATGAAGCCTACTATTATGTATTGAAACTGTGGTTTATGTAATGAAGCCTCTTGTAATGTATTGGAACAGTGGTTTGTTATATCTTTCACTGGGTATTGTTGTACAATTTTGTTATTGCCAATAAACAACATGACAAGAAACTAACAAACTGAGTACGAGGGAGGGAGAACCCAGGGAAAGCTAGAGGTCGATGATGGAGGGAAAAGCTTTTGATGAATGTTCAAGATAATTTGCTTTGTGAAGGTTAACAAGGTAATTTGCTTGTGAAGTTGTAAATCCATATTCCTTAAATTCATAATCAAATCCATATAGCAAACAAGGGACTTTTTAAATCCACAATATACCAAATCCATCTTAAATACTCAAGATTTTGAAAACCCAAATGATGGCCAAACGAGCCCTAAGGTGAATTCAACTCTTTCACCCACCATCACTTAGTGCAAGGGGACTGAATGACTTACAATTTTGCTTGTCACCTACATCGATGGATTTCAAAGAAGCATTTATTGGGCAGTCCCTTAAGCTTGCTTTTTTCAACGTAGCTCAAAGACATAAAAGAAAGAGCGTTTCATGAGAGACATCCCATATTTGAAGAAGAAAACTCGCGAATTCGCTAGGTGTAAGAGAGCAATGGTGGATGGATCTGACCAAGCAATGCTAGAATCTCAACGATGAAGAGGCTAGGGCAACGTCTGAGAGCACTAGTGCCCAAATCTTTTCGATTGTGGGGAAGAGGAAGGTGAGAAGAAGACAATGGTCATATGATTTTTTTTTTTGAAAATCATAAGAAAAAATATTATTATAATTGAGTTGACACTGATGTGTTGGCTTACCTTTAAATCCATCCCACACATCGTTAGTATCAATGTAACATGGCTTTTGATTTATAATTCTACCAAAGATTTGATTTTTTTATGGTATTTACATAGGTTTGAATAATAAATTGTATTTATTCTTTTCTCAGGCTTGCTAAATGATTTTGCACATATATTATGCATGGTTAATTAATAGCATCAAAATTCAAAACAAATAATCTATAACGATACAATTTGAATTACCTTTCCATCCCTGACAATCATAATTGCATAAAAATGGAGTAATTCACAATTTTCAAATAAATTTGTTCCATCCAAAATTTTCTAATATTCAAATGGAAAATTTAACCAATTTTTTTTTGGGTTAATACCTTATTTTGGCCCCAACTATGACCATATAATCAATTTTGGCACGTTGTTTCAGAAATTAACATCCTGGCTTGAACTTTGCAGCATAAATACTCATTTGGCCCGACACATGGTTTGACCGTCAATTGGACGGTCAACACCTTTGACCGTTAGTCAACGGTCCAGATCACTGCCATGTCGGCACAAAACCAAAAAAATTCAAAATTCAAATTATCTTATTGTTTCCTTTATGCAATTAAAAAGATAATAAATAATTAAAAAAAAAATTTCGGAACCCACCCCTCTTTCTCCCTGACCTTTCTTCTTCCCTGTATCTCCGTTCCCACCATTACCAAGGACAAAGTGAACGAGCTAACAGCAAAATCCTCAAAGTCCCATTGTTTTCTCCCCCAAAACCCCTTCGAAATCAGCGACTCCGGCTCCCGTGAGGCGACAACGCCATTATCTGTAATCCCCCCAAACCCCCTTCGAAATCGGCGGCGACGACTCCTGTGAGGCGGCAACGCTATTATCTGTAATCTCCCCCCTTTCAGCATAGCAATCCGAGGGATTGGGGCTCGGTCTCGCCGATTGTGGGTTATTGGTTGGCGGGCGAGATGGAGGGTTGCCGAGAGACTCGCGGCCGCTATTGGGGAGGAAGAAGCTTGGTTCAGCATAGCTGTCCCAATTGATTCCGCCGGCTGCTGCCGCCGCCGTCGCGGAAGAGAAAGAAGAACGACGAGTTGCCAATAGAGAAAGGGAAAAGGAATGGGCGAAATTCCTAATTTCTAGATCCAAGAGGCTGACCCCGAGCTACCTGCCGCTTCCACCGGAGACGAAATCAAAGTCTAAATCATCGTAGCCGTCGATTCTGAACACCAGCTGTGTGTCGATGGCGGCAGAGGAGTGCGATTTTGCGGTGGGGGCGGAGAGGAGGCGATGGGTGGTTGAAAGATTTTGTTTTTTTTTCATTTTTTGTTAATTAGGTAAAGGAAGTAAGAAAGAAAATTCAATTCCGAATTTTTTATTGCTTTGGTTGCTGACATGGCGATGACCTGGACCGTTGACTAACGGTCAACGGTGTTGACCGTCCAAATTGACGGTCAAACCATGTGTTGGGCCAAATAAGTATTTATGCTGCAAAGTTCAGGCCATAATGTTAATTTCTGAAACCACGTACCAATAGGGATGGCAATGGGTCGGGTCGGGGACGGATAGTGCATATCCGTTACCCTACCCAAAGTAGTTCGGGTTTTATCCATACCCATACCCACATATAAAATGGGTAGAAAATTAAAACCATGCCCATACCCGTTCGGGTTTCGGGTATCCACGGTTATCCATGGGTAATGATTTCTCTTCATAATTCCAACTAATATGTTAACATTCACACGTATTCTCACATTACGCAAGAGGAAAAGTATGACAATAATTCACTAGAATGAAGAAAATTAATTAAAACAACACAATTTCATGAAAATATGATATTTATATGCTAAATATAAAATATTTTAGAGAAAACTAATGACTATTTCTAGACAAAATACATAAGTATGTGTATAATCGGGCGGGTTCGGGTTGGATACTGAGAAACCCATGCCCACCCATTACCCGTAATATTCGGGTTCGGGTTTTGCCCGTACCCACTAAATGTCCTTCGGGTTCGGATTTTACCCTACCCGATTAGGCCGGGTTCGGGTGGATATCCACGGTTACGGATATTTTTACCATTCCTACGTACCAAAATTGATTATATGGTCATAGCTGAGGCCAAAATAAGCTATTAATTTTTTTTATATATAACTGGATCAAATCTTCTCATCAAATTACTCTATCCGAATCATCTAACTCCATGAAAAAAAAAAATAGAAAAAGAAGCCAAATTGGAGGGTCAGCTTCACAAATACCGAGTATATGGGGGACGAAGTGCAAGTAAAATAACTAAGCCCGCACATAAATCGTAATAATTAGATTAAGGCGGGAGATTAATTGAAATTTGATTAGCCTTCCGGTTTCCGTACTGTCTTCCAGAAACCAATGATGGGGCCTTCATTAAGCCTCCATTAAACCTCTCTTCTTCCCCTTCACTCTTTCCCGGGATGGGATTAGGTGCTAACCCCTATAACCGTGATAACTAACAAAAATCACTATGGATTATTATAAAATCAATACAACATCTAAATTAAATCACTACTAATTCAAACTAGTAGTAGTTTGCTCCGTTCCCCTCTTTCCCAAACCAACAAAGGAAGAAAAAAAAAAAAAAAAAAACTCCGTCTGCACAGAAAAAGAGGGAGACCAGAGCGCCATTCCGCGCTACCCAACACTCTCCCTAATCCCTTCTTCTTCTATTCCCTCAGAGTATCTAGCTGCCAGCGACGGTTCTTCTTTCCAACAGATTTCGTCATCGGAATTCCCCCTAATCCATGGCGGATCTGTACGGCGCAGCTCCATCTCCTCCTGCTGCCTCAGCCCCGCCGCCGCCGCCTTCCGAGACCGAGGAAATCTCGTCGTTCCTCCACCAGTTCCTTCACAACACTTCTGCCGCTTCCTCCTCCTCCTCCCCCAAATTCATGTTCCACCACCCTCACTTCTCATCTCCACCGCCGCCTCATCACCAGCACCACTTCCCACCTCCCCCGGACGCCGCCTTGCCGCTCGAGTTCCGGGATCGCCACCATCGGTCCAACTCCGACCCCCCGCTCGGTCCCAACTCCGGCGTCAATTTCTCCGATCCCAGCCTCTACTTCGGGAGGGATTCCCGTGGAATCGAGAATGCCGCCGCCACGTCAGCGGCGGGATCGAAGAAAAGAGGCGTCTCCGTGGAGAACGATCTCGGCTCTGGCGATTTCAGCTGCGACAGCGGGGTGAGTTCGAGAACGAATTCATATGTTTTCTTTAGCTTCCCGAGGAAAGAATATATCGGGTTTAGCGAGGGATTATGGGGTTTAATAGTTGTTTAATTGAATTAAGGAGTGTGGTTTAAATCTTAGTTTAATATATAATCCATTCTCAAGGGCGGAGAAGGGTCAGAGATGCCTGCGGAGACAGGAGGAAAGCCTCGAAGCTCGTCCAAGAGAAGCAGAGCAGCAGAGGTTCACAATTTGTCCGAAAAGGTTTGGCCCTTTCTGCTAAGCTCAGCAGGACAATGTTAAATTATTGGTTTGGGTTGCTAACTGATTATCTTATCCTGAAATGGGTGGGGTTGTAAGCAGCGGAGGAGAAGCAAGATCAACGAGAAAATGAAAGCTTTACAGAACCTGATACCAAATTCTAACAAGGTGAGATATGAAGTTCTATTCTTTGAATTGTGGGGGAGTTAGTTGACTGATTCATGTGATGGACGTTGTTTGCGGCTTGCTTGTTGTATCCTTGTGTTAGACGGATAAGGCATCGATGCTGGATGAAGCAATTGAATACTTGAAGCAGCTTCAGCTGCAAGTCCAGGTTAGTTTTCTCTTTTACTTTCAATGGTTGGTGATCATGTATAGTCATTTGTTCCTATTCTGAAGTTGTATTTGTGAACCAAGCAACCAACAAAGTTGTGCTGTGTAATTGCATGGATTCAAAGCTTTGATCTTGGTATCTCATGGTAATGGTATCGAAGTGCACCATGGACAAGGACGTTCTTTGTTTTCCAAAGTACTTGCCAAATCGACCATCAATTTTCTGCTAGTTCCTTGGTTGGTTCAGGTTGTGGAGTATGTATTAATGGTTCCAATTCATTACTGTTGACGTATTTGACATTTGAAACCTTAGATTTATGTCATGGTTGAGCCCTTACCATCTTGTTGTATTTTTGCCAGTCTAGTTGGGATGAGATTACCAAAGCCTTCAAATTTGATGTTCTTGCACTAACTTGTAATGTACTAAGATAAATCAATCTGTACTGGAAGAATAAAGGCTTGAACTTTGTTCTCATGCTCTTGCTACCCTTCTTAACGCCATGCTTTTTTTATTCTTTAAAAAGTTCAAAGTGCAAATTAGTCTCTTGAAAGTCTATGTTCAGTGTCAGTTAGGTGAAGGTTTAGGATGTGATTACATAAGCTGACTAGAAAAAAGAGTATATTCCTGTTGAATTTAGGTTTTAGCTGTGACAGTGACAGTGACTGGTGTAGGGACATCTGTGGGTCTCCATCCGAGCTTGGTGTTTCAATCCAACAGGAGAAACGTGCTGCAAAATATGTGTTTGCTTTTTTTGTGAAATCAATCTGTAGTAAGAGACCCATTTTCAACCTATTTTCAGCTCCTAGGGCTCAACGTTAAACCTGTATTCTAGAGAGGGCAGTATTTCTTTCCCTAGATGCTTGCGGACCGGGTGAAATGGCTAACCCTAAATTAATGTATTGAGTTCATAAGTTGTGGTTTCTACCATGTCCATTCCAAACACATGGCCTTCAAAGAGGCCCAAATGAGCATAGTTAGAGGTCTTGTCCTGGTTTATTGAATGTTCAAGGAATGCCAATCACATATGCAAGTTTAACATTCCATTTTTCTGGCTTTATTTTGGGTTTCTGCAGATGTTGACATTGAGGAACGGATTAAGCTTACATCCAATGTGCTTACCTGGACTACTACAGCCAATGCAACTGCCACTGACAGGATTGAGTTTCGAAGAAGGAAATGGACTGATGAATAATACCACTCCATTAACCGGTTCCTTCTCTGCAACTGAAGAAACCTCTGCTGCTCAACCTGGTCTTAATCTTCCTAACCAGTGTACAGGATCGAGCCAGGCACCGTCTGGAACAAATAACAATCCCTCTTCTTCTAAGAACCCTTTTGCCTTTGAGCAGCCGTATCATGTTCTTTACGGGTCTCTTAATGTAACCTCATCATCTCCGAAGGTATAAATCTCAGATTGTTGGTCACTGAATCTAACTGGCTCTGTTGCCCTCGAGAGAGCTCACCCTTCGTGTTTTCCTTGTATCTGAAGGAAATCTGCAGGGAAGGTACAACAGCAGCAGCAGGAGCATCACAAGTAGATACGACCGAGCTCTGAATACCTCTTCGTCAGGGGTTTCGTAGGTGACACCTCTTAATTAACACTAGCAGCAGGATCATCGACCCAACATTTTCCTTCCTTTCATTTCTCGGTTCCTTCTCTTGCGCTGAATATCATAGAAGCTGCTGCAACTTTAGTTCTGAAAACTGCTGCTGCTGCTGCTGCTGCTGACGTTTCACATTTTTTGCCTTTTGATGTTGTTATAAAGTTGTAAAAGGGTATCACAAATTTGTGAAAGACAACAAGGACAGCCCTTTTGTTAACTTGAATAGAAATGCTGCTCTGTTTACCGTTCTTCAATCACAAATAGCTCTTGTAGAAAGTTAGCTAGGAAATTTTCAAGATTAATGGAAGGGTTAGTTACATTGCATTGATGAAGCGTCGGTGTGGCAAAGCAGAGCAATTATTGGTGGGAGTGGGAGGGAAGGTAGTAAACTTGGGTGATGGGATGAGTGACGTTCACTCAAAACGAAATCATTTCTTCGACGCAACAACCGGAGAAAAGGCTTCTCTGAAACTTGGACCACTCTTCTTGTAAGAACTAAGAAGGAAGAGCAGGGAGGGAAAAAATGTAAGGAAAGTTGCATTCTCAATACTTTCCGTTACTTTCTTGCACTTATTCAATATTTTATGGGATAATATATTTGTATGATCCGAAATTTTCACGTATTAAATATTTTGAACAATTTTTTTGATTTATAACATTGTGGCCTCAACTATGCATTGAAGTTACGAAATTGGACAAACCTGAGATTTGATCGTTATCTTAGACGGTAAACGCGTTGACTAACAGTCAACGTGCCACGTCATCGTCCAACCAGCACAATAAATGTTAAAAAATTCAAAAAAGTCACATAATCTCTAATTGTGAATTTTTTTTTTCCGTTGAATCAATTTCCTGTTTATTAACTTTTAGAGAAGACATGGTGATAAAACACCACACCTGATACAATGAAGTAGAGAACCAACCCCCTATTGGTGCTCTCTGAAAACAGCCCATCAAACCAAATAAGGTTTCCCAACTACCTTCCACTAGCTACTATCCATCCCACTACACAAGTTTTTGGCACACAGTCACTCTACACCAGTCCAATACTACTGTAATCACTCAACAAAGAAGGGAAAGCTTCCACAACAAACTTTAACTCACACAACCATAGCTCCGAAACTATCCCAGCAGCTCGTGCTTGTTCCCCATGGCTCTTCGACATCTCTCCTGCTTAGGGGTGGTAATCGGTCGGTAACCGGTTAAACCGGTTACCGTTTGATCGGGTACCGGTATACCGACCCTCCTATTGCCTGCGCCGTTTACCGCTACCGAATATACTTTGATACACCGTTCACCGATTGGGACGGTTTCGGCATTTGCACCGGTTTCCCGTTTAACCGAAAGGTGACTGGCTACAGAAATTTTGTGCTACGGACAGAGAAACTATTGCGGCAACCGGCAAGACTGTACCCTGCTTTTCGATGGGGCACGATGGTTGCTTTCACTGACAGAGAAACAAAAGCAATTGCGCCTACTGTATTGTCTTCCTTTCGTTTCTTGTTTGGGGAATTGGGTCCAAACTTCAATGTCCAGCTGTCCCTCTCTGAGACTCTGATAACTGATAACTAATAAGAAAATGCCAAACAAAAACACAAAGAATCATATGGTTCTACTTCCACCTGGCTATGTATCCATCTCTAGCTCTGATAAGAAAGTGCCAAAAATTGAATTATGAAAGAACGGGAATATGAAAATTGAAACGATCATGAAAGAATCAAACTCAGCTATACAAGTTAGTAAGTTACCTACCTCAAATCAAGACGACGAAGATACCGCCGGTTTCGGTCGTCGGAGTTTGGTTGGATGAACGGAGGAGGGATTGGCGGTGTGATTCGTCGAGCTCGTGCAGCGGGCAGGGGAGATCTTAGGTGTTGCTAGCTAGGGCGGCCCGTGGCCGAAGTTGTTGATGTTTGATGGCTTCAAGCCTTTTTCCAATCGGTATCGGAATACTGGTATGCCGACGGTGTTTTACCGTACCTATCTCGGTACACCGCCATCCAAATTCCCATCTCCGAATACCGTTTGAAACGGTTAACGGTTTAACCGGTAACCACGGTTATCGGTACGGTTATCGGTTAAACCGTTAACCAGAATACCATTAACCACCCCTACTCCTGATAAATAAAAGAGGACCCAGAACACCATATTAATCCAATCATACGACCCAACGCACTATTTCTAGCAGCTATAGACACTGATGCCACAACCCGCGAGTCCCAAGAGCCACTTCCAACCTGCAATCCTACTTTCATCAACAAGCGCTTTTAAAAAACTGCATTCGAAGAACAAATATTCTCTCTTCTCACTTCCTACACCACACAAGATACAAATATCATCCTGCAATCATCCCCATTTCATCAGTTTTACCTTCGTAACCATTGCATCCACCATCCAGCATTATAATCCAAGAGATAAAGCTCCATCGAGGTATATGATACTTTCCCCAAAGAAGTTTGGACCAGTTTACTCGAGCATGAACAGGTCGCATGGTTTTCCAGACCTCTCGAACTGAGTACAACACCATCTCCTTACCTTGGCAAGCCCCACCCCATCCTGCAATCCCATTAGTGGCTGGAATTGTGGACGGAGCTTCAAAATTCTGCGCCAAGCCCAAGAACATGATGCAGTAATCGTCATACTCCAAAGGTCTATTCCCCTGCACCTGTAAGCAAGCATCCAAGCCACCCATAGGGCTCCTGAGCGCATCATGAGGAGCCAGAGCATCCTGGCAGTGCATGTTCTGTTCCATGTAAACAAGTAACATACGCCTAGGCCCCCTCCTTCTTAGGTCTAGAATCCTCTCCCTTGCTACCTTTGCCCTTCCAGATTCCTCTTCATGCCATAAGAAGTCCGAACAGATCTTCTGCAGCTTTCGAAGAAACTTTTTAGAAAATAGGAACAACTGAAGCCAATATTTAATTACCCCCCATTAAGACCGAAGAGACTAACTGTATTCTCCCTGCATAAGTCAGCTTCTTTGCACACCATGATCTGATTTTCTTTGTTAACTTTTCAAGCAACACCTCACAATCTGAATCCTTCAACTTTTCCAGAGAGCAAAGGGAGTCCTTGTTAGAAACACGTTAATTGCTATTTTTGTTATTTAGTATTATTTGTCGGTTTTGGATGATTGGGGGATTATTCAGGGAATTCGAGAAATAAACAGGGAGTCGATTGTCATGTTATTTTAGTTGGGTAGGAAATAGGAATTATCAGGACTATATAATATGTAATTAGTGGGTTATTTCCATTAAGCAATTACTGAACAACTTATCAACCCTAATCCTCTCTCCCTCTTCCCTCTTCCCTCCTCCCACGTCTCTCTCTTATTCTGCCTTCCCAAAGGCTATCGTAGCAGCCACTCTTCCCAAACCCCTCTCGATCCCTCAACTCCTCTCATCTCAAATCCCTAGATAGGCCATTCTCTCATTGACCTGGCCATTTCTCCAATCCTGTGAACTGTTAGAAACTGGGTTTCTAACATCTGGTATTAGAGCACGGTTCGAGAGTGAGTTTCACGTAACTCTTGAACTAGGGTGGACGTAAGAAGACAATAGTGCAAACCAAATCACAAACCACAGCAGAGAAGGCGGTTAAGGCAGCCGAGAAAGCCACCAAGGCTGGCGACAAGGGCCTCGACGGCGTGGTGGAGGCCAAGAAGGAGCTCGAGGCGGTGAAGGTGGTGGTGCACGAGCACTCAGGAGCGCTGGCTCATCTCGAGGAAGGGCTGGCAAGGGTGCAGGCTGAAGCGAAGACAGATGCTGAGGGTCTTCGCCAGATGATGGAGAATTTTATGCAAGCAATTGCATCGCCGCAGGCGAAGGAGACCGGAGCGGGGATCGCGGCCGAGTCGGAAGCTATCGGCGGCGGCGCAGCAGGCCGGGGGGGGCGGGGGGGGGGGGGGGGGGGGAGTTGCGACGAGGCCAACCCCAGCCTCGACCGAGTCGGCGGCTATCGGCTGCGGCGCGACAAGCGGGGGGCCCTCCTCTACAAAGACGGCGGCGGTGTCGACGGGCGAGGCGGTGACAGAGGTCGAAGGGGGAACGACGACGGACGTGGACCCCTACTTCGCGGACCGCGTGGGCGAGGTCGTGGGTCGGGCATGTTAGCGACACCGTCGACCCAAGAGATCGCAGCAATATGGGGAAAGCGAAACTGTCAGGGTATGACGATGTTGTGCCTCATTTAAGTTTCGGGTCGCATGAATCAATAGGCCAAGGAGGGGAGCTGGGCCGTGACAAGGAACCCAACGGGCTTGGGTGGTTTGGCACTGACGAGGAAGATGAGCCGGGCCTGACTGGGCATGCAAGGAGCTGGGCCGAACCTGGGAAGGGTGCGATCGGGCAGGGCCCGACACGGGGCGAATGGACCAGAGCTGGACGAACCGACTCGGGTTGACCAGGGTGGACCGGTTTGGGTTGGACCGAACCAGGGCTAACTGTGGGTTGAACCGGTTCGACCAGTTCCTTAGCGAATTGGGTGGTAGGGGACCAGAAGCCATAAGAGAGATCGACAAGGGTTCGGGACCCTCTTATCTGCCGTTTCATGGCCCCCGCTCGCCGGTGGGACAGTGGGATGCAAGTCGGGCACAAAAGGTTGGACCGGACGAGTATGCGGAGTACCCGTTCGAGGAGGAAGAGGGCTGGGGCCGAAGCAAAGGGTCGCAGATTCTGCGAGACTATCTTGACCGAGCTCCGGGATACGATAGGTATGACGACTATCCTCGTGGCTTTGATGGTGACCTGGTGTTTAGGGCTAAACCTCCTACCATTAAGTTCCCAAAATTCAATGGTCAGGAGGATGTGGGCCTTCAGTTGTATGCAGCTGATAGATGGTTCAAAAACCATCCCACCAAGGAAGAGAGAAAGGCACATCTTGCGTCTTTCTATTTAGAAGGAGACGCACTACAGTGGCGGGAGTGGCTAGAACGATCGTGCACAGGTTCCCAGACCTTGATCACTTGGTCCTTGTTCAAGTAAGAGCTACAGTACCAGTTCAGTAAGTCGGAAGGGTGGGCGGGGAGCAACTGGCTAAGCTGCGTCAAATGGGAACAGTGATGGAGAACAAGACGAAATTTTTCAAGATGGGCAATCAATGCAAGGGAGTACCTGAGAAGACCCTGGTTGGGTTGTGTATGGCTGGCCTAAATCTAGAGATTGTTGCGGCGGTTAAGGTTTTCGAACCAGATTCGTTGAGGTCTGCATTTCGTCTTGCAGGTTATAAGGAGGAGGAACCGGTCAGTTGGAGGAGCACGATTGGGCGCTTCCCAAAGGCTGGCGGAAGTGGGGGCGATGGCACCGGGTCGGGCGGCGGAGGACTGAGCGCGCCCAGCGGAGTAGGCTCGACGACAACTAGTGCCGTCACCTCAAATCGGCAGGTTCCTAGGCCGCTGCCGAAGGATTCCTGTGACTATCACCCCAGGAGATCGAGGAGAAGAGAAGAAAGGGGAAATGTTTCAACTGCGACGAGAGGTTTACCATGGGACACAAATACGCCAATCCCAACTTGATGATGTTGGTGGGTTGCTAGGAAGATGAGGAGGAGGAGGAAGCAAAAGAAGAAAGGCCGCCAGACTTGGAGTAGGAACCACAACCTTGAGAGCAAGTTCGTTTTTCAAGAAGGCGGGAATGTTAGAAACACGTTAATTGCAGTTTTTGTTATTTAGTATTATTTTTCGGTTTTGGATGATTGGGGGATTATTCGGGGAATTCGGAAAAAAAATAGGGAGTCGATTGTCATGTTATTTTAGTTGGGTAGGAAATAGGAATTATCAGGACTATATAATATGTAATTAGTGGGTTATTTCCATTAAGCAATTACATAACAACTTATCAACCCTAATCCTCCCTCCCTCTTACTTACTCCCACGTCTTTCTCTTCTTCTGCCTTCCCAAAGGCTGCCGCAGCAGCCACTCTTCCCAAACCCCTCTCGATCCCTCAACTCCTCTCCTCACAAATCCCTAGCTAGGTCATTCTCTCATTGACCTGGCCATTTCTCCAATCCCGTGAACTGTTAGAAACCGAGTTTCTAACAGTCCTAAATAAATTACAGGCAAAGAACCCCTTAAATCCAGATACAGCTAGAACAACTGCCTTATATTTCACAGATTCACCACCCAAATACACCTCACACTTCTCCGGGTTGCATTTCAGCCCAAAAAATCGATTGAAATCATTCAATTAGTCCTTTATCTTCAACATAGATTGCCCCGAGCACGTAGAGAAGATGAGTAAATCATCTGCAAAGTACAGATGATTTTGAGTAATCTTCTTACAGAGTGGTGATAAGGCAAATGATTCTGCACTGCTGCTTGATTCAGTAACCTAGATAAAACCCTGCATAGCTATACAAAACAAATATGGCGACAAGGGTTCACCTTGCCAAACTCCTTTTCGCGCTTTAAAGAAACCACATAACCCACCATTCAACTAATACTAAAGTGAGCAGTAGAGAGACAAATTCTAATCCATTTGATGTACATGTCTGGGAACCCCATAATACCCATAACCTTAAACAAATAGTCCCAATGCACTGAATCAAACGCTTTCATTAAATCTACCTTCACTGCACATCTAGTAGAAAGCTTCTTATTACCATAACCACTAATCAATTATTGTGCAATCAATATGTTATCCATAATGCGTCTACCCCTGATAGAAGGCGTCTGATTCAAGCTAATGATATGAGGCATCACTAACATCAATCTATTAGCTAAATTTTTTGAGACACACTTGTATAACACATTCACACATGATATAGGACGAAAGTCCTTTAATCTCACAACATTAGGTACTTTAGGGCACAGGTGAAACTGTCGTTGTATAAATTCCACTAAGTAATCTACATTGTGAGAAAAAAACCCAAAATACCTGCAGTGACGTCCTCTCCAATTAATTGCCATGTATGCTTAAAGAATCCCGCTGAAAAGCCATCTGGCCCGGGAGCTTTCTGGTCATTTAGGGCAAACATTACTGCTCAGATTTCATCACTAGATACTGGCATACATAATAGATCAGCAACCTCTTCAGGGACCCTTTTCTCAATTAATAATCCAAGAAGGTCAGTATCAGTCTGTATTTTAGGATTAACCAATCCAAACAAAACCTTATAGTAATTCACAACCTCCTCAGCAATTAGATCAATATCAGTGAGCTCCTCTCCTGTTTCATTTATCAATCTCCGAATAGCTTTCTGAATTACTCTAGACTTTTGCCAGTAAAAAATCTCCTCCTACCTTTTCAATCTAATTGTGAATTATTTCAATTAAGTTAAAAGTAAATATAAAAAAAGAAAAATCAACAAAAGATCAAATGCATCTCTTCTTCCTCACACCCTTCCCCCAAAATCCAACTTAACCTAGAATACATCCCAAAATTTCCTCTCCAGAACTAAATCCTTAAATCCCAAAATTCCTACAAAATCCTATATCCTAAAAGGTCATGAACACAATAAAAAAGACTTCCCATCCCGTTGTTGGAGATGTCGCCGTCGTTTGCTTATTTTTTAACACAGATTGCGTTTTGAACCCAGATCGCCATTTGCTCCTTCACTTATGCAATCCGCTCCGACGACAACAAGTCAACAACAACACAGAAACAATCCAATCGAACTTGCCGCAAATCACAAACCCAGACTCCACCACCTCCAAAATCGATCTCCGATTGTGATTTCCAGATCTGGGCAAAATCGAGCCCTTGTCCTTCACGGAGCCGGAGCGTCGGCGCCACCTGTATAAGAGAGTGGCGGTCCTTCTGACGAGATGATAGTGGTCAGGAAGTTCGTCAACGAAGATTGCCTGGGGAGAGGAGTCAGATGTGACGATGATCGTTACTCGGATTCGACTTCATTTTCATCTTCTCCTTTTGCGTCTCATACAGAATCACCACCACCTCGTTGCTTTCCCCATCTCCTCCAGCAGCAATCCAGTAAGATCGAGCGGGAACAAGAAGAACAGGCGCCTGCGAGACTGCGGATGAGGAAGACTTGAGGTTTCACTTTTGGGGAGGGATGGTGTCATTGATTTTTTTTTATTATATTTTTATAATAATTGTAGTAATTCAAAATTGAAGATTATGTGGATTTTTTTGAATTTTTAATATTAATTGTGCTGATTGGATGGTGACGCGTTTGATCATCCAAGATAACAGTCAAATCTCAAGTTTGGCCAATTTCACAACTTTGATGTATAATTGAGGCCACGATGTTATAGATCGAAAAGATTGGTTACGATGTTTAATATGTGAAAAGTTTGGGTCATACAAATATATTAACCCATATTTTATTGAGTGAACATATGGTTTAAAAAGAAGGTTTAATACACTTGTATATCCAAAACTTTCACGATTGTGCCAATAATATCCAAATTTTTCGAAATACCACTTATATCCATGTTTTAAAGTTGTTCTTTGCCAAATCTATCCATTTCCCAATATATTTTTGGTTAAATACACTTGTATATCCAAAAACACCGTTAAAGAATGTGAAGGAATTGGATATAAGTGGTATTTCGGGAAATTTGGATATTATTGGCACAACCGTGAAAGTTTTGGATATACAAGTGCATTTGACCTAAAAAGAATGAAATAGATTAAATACAAATAGATAATAAAGTCAATTGGAATAGAACGGATATAGAGTAGGGTGGGACGAGGAGAGACAGGACGAAAATAGTAACCAGAACTAATCTCACGCTGTATTGAATAATACACTCCATAACACTGGTCAAATAAGATAATACTGACAATAGTTAGCTAGTAAAAGGATTGTAAAGTTTTTACCATTTGTTTTTGTAATTTAGTTAAAAATGTTCATTTAGGAATATAGTGTATGATATAAACATTTACCAATCATATGACATATCACGTGTCATTTAGATGTAGTGCATTCTAAATAAATTGCAAGAAGCAACAAGTTTGCAAATCTTATAAGGAGAATTAAAAAAAAAACATTGGGATTTAAGATTTATACAGGCGGAGAATTCAACTATAAAAATATCTGATAGAGTTACAATTATTTAACGAGTAGAACACATGATTTTCCACTCAAACATTGTAAATTTACACTTCAAGTCTGTAATGAACGTTGAACATATCTTTAGCAATATCAATGTAGCTGGATCAGGTAACTCAATACCCAATATCGTCTGCATCAAATGTAGGTCTGATAGAGTAATATTCGCGTCAATAGGAGTTGGTTAGGTCGATCCATTCTCACATATTAAAGAAAATAAATATACAAAATTTCTTTTTATTATGAAATAAAGTAAAAAGGCTTAGAGATAATAAAGAGTAATTGAGTTCAGTTAGTTCAAAGATGAAGTCTTGCACTTATTTAATATTTTATGGAGCGAACATATGGTTTAAAAAAGAATGAAAATAGAAGAAATACAAATAGATATTGAATCTAATTAAGATAGAATGGGTCTAGACCAGGGTGAGGCGAGGAGAGACACTGCCGAAGTAATATCCATAGCTGACCCCACGCTATTATGGATAATACCCTCCATAACACTAGTAAAATAAGATAATATCGTCGAAACAAGTTCAAATTGTAATACCTATATATCTTTAACCTATTAAACCTTTTAATACTATATCAGGTGAAACCAAAAATTACCTATCTATAACTATAATACTTTAGAAAATTTCAATTTCTCACAATAGAGTGCGAGTTTTATTTAATCCAAAATCATCTTCTTATCCAAAATGTTAATCAACTTAAAATGTTAATATCAACGCAAGAACATCGTCTCACCTTAAAACAATATTCTTGTTTACGCTTAATTATCTAATATATCTTCTATCACATAAAAAATGTAACGAAGCGCGAGCTTGCAAACCATTAGAAAATAACGACGATCCATCTCTACCCATATGAAACGAATTTTCATGCGTGCAACGATGACGTGCCCCTGTCGGCATGGGCAACCCTAGTACCTTGAATGCTTCCCTACTCATGTCAAACGTATTGAACTTGAGGGAATCATTAGCATTATCATCGAAGGATGCCCAACGGTGATTATCATGGTTACTGTTGTCGTCGTCAGCCGCGCCGCAGCTAGGTGTTCACCAGTGATATCTCTCGATTCTTGATGTGCAAGGGTGATAGTGAACTTTTGTTCTTTAAGTTAATGGACCCTTCGTGCAGTAGTTATCCCGGCATGCGACTGCATGCCGATTATGTACTTCACTATCGTCCTGTCGCCTCCAAAAATCATGATCGTCCCTCAAGCCATACATGACGGTCGTTTGGAAGTTCCAATGATCGTAATGTCTAGCAACTACCTTATAGTCACCCATTACTGGGTCGAAACCAAACCCGATAATGTGGGTCTAGGTAGTAGAAGGGAGCATGTCGACAAGCGAGGGCAACAACTTTGTTTCAGAAGTCGAAGGATTCCATAAAGAGATTTCTTCTCCACTATGATTGGTTATGCAAAATATCTCGTCTGAGAAACCCACGATGGACTGGTATCTGAATCTTGGAAGCGTACCCAAAGAGACGAGCGTGAGCGTGTCGTACGAGTGGACCGAAAATGACGTCGAGGTAAATCTAGACGGATGAGATATTAGAACCTGCCACCCTGCCCCCACTCCGATGAAGCGTATGTATAGATCTAATAGAAAGCTTTGTTATGCTACAAAAACTATTGCCGATAATGTTTCAACAACTGGGTTACCAATCAAAGAGACTATTGATCTACTAGCAATGCAGAATGGAGGTCGTCAGCATAATGGATATTTCCACATTGATCTCAGAAATCGCAGTGCTTCACAACGGCGGGCTACAATGATTACGGATATATCCCTGCCATGATGAATTGGTTTTGGAAAACAAAACCTGAGGATCCATCATTCTTTTATTCAGTGCAACTCGATGATGTTGATCATCTTATGAATATTTTTTTGGGCAAATGGTAAGTCTATAGTTGATTATAAGCACTTTGGAGATGTATGTTTTGACACAAATTATAGAATAAAAAGTGTAGTCCACCTTTGCTCTGTTTGTTGGAGTTAATCACTTGAAGGAGACAATAATTTTTTTGCCCGAATTGTTTTAAGACGAAACGATCTCATCTTTCAACTTGTTATTTGGAGCTTTTTTAGTGCAATGGGAGGAGAGTAACCCAAGACCATTTTAACATATCAATCAACTGCTATGGCAAGAGAAATAGAAGAGGTATTCACTGAAACACGTCATCGTTTATGTGTTTTTGCATATTTATCAAAATGCTGCTATACACTTAAGCCATGTATTTCATTCATCCAAGCAATTTGCTAATGATTTCGGTGCATGTGTTTTTTATTACGAAGATGAGGATGAGTGACATCAATCTTGGGATACTATGCTTAACAAATATTCTTTGGAAGACAATGAATGGTTGCATGGAATATTCTTAAAAAGAAGAAAATGGACAATAACGCGGAGGAGAGATGCGACGATGGAACTCGGGGAGATACGGCGATGAACTGGAGACAAAGGCTGAAGGACATAGGTGGGAGAGAGTCTCTACTCTCGACTCTCTGCTGCGACTGCCCAATTCCAGTTTTCGGCTACGGTTAGCAGATTGTCGGCCCAAAAATGAAGGTGATTAGGAGATGATTCAGGAGTCGGTCAATCCGGTCAGACGTCCCCCCCCCCCCTTTTAACTGGTACCGAGTAGCTCTAAAATAGTGCATACTCAGAGTTGTTTTGATGTTCGGTTTCGATCTGACTCGATGCGACTGGCTGGTCTAACTACGACTTGACAACCTTGGTAAATGTTGAATAGAAGTATACGTTTTTTGTCCCTACAACTTTGATTTTGGATCGTATTCACTGGTCTTGTAAAGCTGAATTGGTGACTTTCAAACGATAAACATTATGAGCACATATAATCAAATTTAGTCTAAATAATTTTATTCAAAAGCTTATAGAATTTTATTGATTTCAACTTTTAAATTTGAAGTGTAACGTATATTTCAGTTAAATCATAGCATGTTGGAGTATTAAATATCATTAATTGTTACTCCTCTTTAAATTATTCTTGTACTTGACCATATAATTGCATATCAAAGAAACTTTGACTCCCCAATTGATAAGTTTCTACTGAAGTTCGTTCTTAATTGTTAAGTACTAGCTAGACTCATATAAGTACATTTTGACCATGAAACTATTAGCATATGGAGTTAATCCACAGTATGTAATGAAGAAGAATCAACAATATTAAGGACACAAATTTATTTGCATAAACTTATTTAATTAACTTCTAGCTCTGCAAGTTGTTATCATTAATGTTTGTGTTTCTCAATAGAGTCGTTGATATATCCGTTAAAGGAATTTAAAATATTTTGAAGAGTTTAATTAATTCTCTGCTCACTCAAATATAATTGACATGATTAGCTGTCAATACGTTAAATCCACGTATTATACATGCATCATCACCTGCATTAATAAGTCGTAACGGTTAGTATCAAATTAATGGACCAATAATCGTACAATATCAACAATAGTTACGCCACTGTAATCTTAAAGTAATTGTTTTGAATCCTATAAATTTTTAACTAGTCATTTCCCCTTCCACTTTTAAGTAGTTTTGACAACATATAACAAAGAAAAACGTAATGGGGATGCTAGAATGCAATGAAAGTAGTTGATGGGTCAATTTGGAGATTAAGGATAAGTAGGAAGACTAAACAAGCACAAACAAAGAAGAAGGGAGCAGAAAAGGAAATAAAAATTATTATGAAAGTGGAGCCCAGCCACAACGTTTTTCCAACCCCTAGGGGGTTGTCAAGCTAACCGACCCCTTGTTGGGGTATTAAATATCATTAATTGTTACTCCTCTTTAAATTATTCTTGTACTTGACCATATAATTGCATATCAAAGAAACTTTGACTCCCACGAGTTTATAAGTTTTTATTGAAGTCCATTCTTACTTGTTAAGTACTAGCTAGACTCATATAAGAACATTTTGACCATGAAACTATTAGCATTTGGAGTCAATCCACAGTATGTAATGATGAAGAATCAACATTAAGGACATCAATTTATTTGCATAAACTTATCTTAATAAACATCCAGTTGTACAAGCTGTTATCATTAATGTTTATGTTTCTCAATAGAGCCGTTGATATTTCCGTTAAAGGAACTAAAAATATTCGGAAGAGTTCAATTAATTCTCTGCTCATTCAAATACAATTGACATGATTAGCTGTTAATACAAAAAATCCACGTATCGCACATGCATCACCACCTACATTAATAAGTCGTAACTGTCAGTATCAAATTAATGGACCAATAATCGTACATAACAACAATAGTTGCAACATTGTAATCTTAAAGTAATTTATTAGAATCCTATAAATTTTTAACTAGTCAATCCCCTTTTGCTTTTAAGTATTTTTTATAATAAATAACAATTAAACGTAATGGGGATGCTAAAATGCAATGAAAGTGGTTGAGGGGTCAATTTAGAGATTAAGGAATTGTACGATGACTAAAAAGCACTAACAAAGACGAAGGGGGCAGAAAAGAAAATAAAATTATTATGAAAGTGGAGCCCAGCCACGTCGGTTTACGTTTTTTGTTCAGAAGCTAAATAACGGCATTCTCTCATGATTGTATTTTGGTCGCTTTCTTAACTTTCTAGCTTTAGCCTCGTCACCTTTTCTTCTCTTCCCTTTATTTCTTCCCCCTCTTCTCCACTTCTCTCTTTGCTTTCCAGTTTCCACCACCCTTTTTCTATAATAGAATGAAGTCTCATAATTCCAGTTCTAACACCCTTGTTGAGATAATAGAGGCCACGCCAGCAACATTAGCGGTGGTGCACAAGGCGGGTCATATTAACAAGAGAAGTTGTTCAAAGAATAAGGCTGCCCTGAAAAATCAGGGCAAGGCTGTTGTGAAAGAAGGAGGCGGCAGAGGGGATCAATTGGATCATCATGTTCATATATGGACGGAGAGGGAAAGGAGGAAGAGGATGAGGACCATGTTCACCAATCTTCAGTCCTTGCTCCCTCAACTCCCTTCCAAGGTACTTTTTTTATCATCATATAAGCTATCGGAATTCTGATCATGATGAGGTTTATCAATAGTAGGATATATTGATTGTTCGAGGAATTTTATAATGTTTTATAGAATCAGTATTTTGATTAGGAAAATACTTTGATGATATAACATAACTTTTCATTTAAGTTATTCTACAAATTAAGTTCATGCCTATATCATTTTGTAAAAAAATTATGATACAAATTGAATTTGTACATTTATGTTATGATACAAATTGAACTTGTATTATAACATAAAAGTACAAATATCTTTATGATATGAACTGAATTTGTACTTTATGTTATCGTACAAACTAAACTTCTACCATAATTTAAAGGTACAAATTAATTTACGGTACAAACTGAACTTGTACCTTAAGCGTTATGGTACAAGTTCAATTTGTACTTCAAAGCACGAACATACAACAGTTTAAAGCATAGCAGAAGAGTTGTCGCTGTTTTGAAGGTCTTTCATCACATCTTATGATCCAAGCTTTAGGAATCATCCATGGTGGTGTCTTTGACGTCGCACCGTCAATTGGATGTCACTTCATTTTTTTTTTTTTGTATAGATAAGGGTGACATCCAAACTCAGGACCTTTATTTAAATCTAGTAATATTATCACTAGACCAACCCATGTTCATTGAATTGAATGTCACTTCACTTGAAAAAAGCTTCACATACTCTTTTTTTGTGTAGGTGGACAAGTCGAGCATTATAGATGAGGCAATAAGCTACATCAAGACCCTTCACCAAACTCTGCAATCACTAGAGAAGCAGAAGCTCGAAAAACTCCAAGGATTCACCAATCTCGACGGCGAGCAGTCTGCAGTTTCAGTGATCACAACATCCCGAGCAGCAACACCACCGCATCTACCATCGACAGCAGCTGATCACCATTCATGCACAAGGGAAGCATTCTTGGCTTCTCAGGGACCGTCAAAGTCGTTCCTCTCGTCGATCACTACTACTACTCTATCTCCAATAACCTTAGGGTTTGAGACGTGGTTTTCTCCCAACGTGGTGCTGAACATGTGCGGAGAAGATGCCCAAATCTGCGTGTGTTCGATAAAGAAGCAAGGCTTGCTTGTTAACATCTTGCATATACTGGAGAAGCATAACTTGGATGTTGTCTCTGCTCATATCTCCTCTGACCACCATCGTTGCACCTACATGATTCATGCCCATGTGAGTACCTTATCCTTATTTTTTTCAATTAGGATTCAAATTGTAAATGGGGTTCTTCGTAGCTAGTTCTGATAGGGTTTGTGGGCATGGTGTAGGCAAGTGCACGTTGTAGGCAATTTCCAGAGTCATTGTCGCTGGAAGATACATTCAAGCTAGCGGCTGGGGAGATGAACTTATGGTTGTTGTCATGTTGATGATGATGATTCCTCCATGCCTGTAATTCCCAACCCAACGGAGAAAACAGTTGTTTTAGCTCGCTAGCTAGGCAGCGGATTGCCCTTAAAGCATTGAAATGTCGAACATAAGGCGGGAGAAAAGAATTAAATGCAGCAGTACTGTGGTTTTGTACAATGCATAAGTTTGGTTCATAATGCAGACATGCATAATCATCAATCATATATATATGTTTTTAGTAAGGGAGAGTCAAATTTGGGGTGACGCTTATGATTTTGACTGTTATGTTATGTGCTTCTTATCTATAATATCTAAACAAAGATAGACTCTCGCTTATAGAAATAATCTTTTTTCGCAGATAATATGAACTTTCAACAACAACTTGATCTTAATTATAATGTCTCTAGGGACATGATTTTTACTAAGGACTGATGAATACCATACTACCACACCTATAGAAGCTAGCCCTTGTGAAAAGAAAATAGCATGGATGTTGTGAATGCCAATGAGACTTACCCTATGTTGTCTAATATATAGGTCATTTGGATGTGGTATTGTGATGAATGAGTTTCAAAATAAGTTATTGAGTTAAAGTGTATTGTTTGATAGGTATGATACAAAATGAGTTTTGGTGACTAGATATTTTTGTTTATAGTGGTGACTAGACACTTTAAAGTGTCTCAATTGAGTTATATTGAAAGAAGAAGATTACAAAATCTGTGTTTATTTTTAATAAAACATCACTATAAATCCTTACCTTTTTGTAATCACCATTCTTGATTGAATAGCTCGATTATCCATGCATGGCATGAAGAGAAATAAAAAATGCATGGTATGCTGTATTCAAAGAATCAATGCATCATATGAGGAGAGATCGAAAATGCATTGGAACAAAAAGATAATCAATTATTGTTCTATGGTAGGACGAAACATCGTGCATTGACAATTACAAGATCCCCAATCTAGAGACTACTCGAGTTCTTTTACCTACCTAGTATGCCACAATGATATAAGTTCTTCATAACTATTTGTGGCATGACTAGAAATCGTTCACATATAGGAATAATTACAATTGTCATGTGATGAGAAATTGTGGGTGAGAGTATGTGCTCTAGTAAGGTTGAGGTAGGATGATCCAAGCACCTTGATCTCTATTCATTGTGTTCTTCTAAACAAAGTTGGTTCAGTAGGTGAACCATCCTGGATATCACACCCTTTTACTCTACCTTCAGTAGGTGAACCATCTGAAGAACCTTCAATCCACTAGTAGTGGATCTAAAGTAGAAACGGGTACTCGTTACTAGTACAGGATGGATAACGTGTACCCGTTTATACCTGGAAACAAGAAGAACAATGCTACTATTGTCCACAATAAATCTCCTAACCATAGGACATAGAGATAATTCATTCATAGCTATTTTCCATAAATGAAAGGGACAAAATCACCCACTGGCCACAAATGAGAAAGGAAAAGAACCCACCCACAGTCCAAAAAAATCACCCAGTGCCCACTGCTGACAAATAAAAAAGAGATAGCTAGCTGTTGTACATATTTAGCTATAATTAAACTAGTACTGAGAAACAAACGTGCCATCTAGGAACAAAGAACCCACCCACAAAAGATATAGATGTCCATATCCGGCTATAAAAAAGAGATAGTTAGCCGCTGCCCAACAATAAACATGAACTTGGAACAAAGAAACAATGTCAAAGTCAAATATGAGATGTCAAAAACAACCAGTACTAAAATGCTGCAGCCTGCAGAATTTTTCCAACCAACGACCTTATGATGACTGACATCCATTCCAACCAAATGATCTCTTGAAAATAACCTGCACATGACATCCATTCTAATCAATTCACGAATGACTAATTGATGTTTCAAATTTGAATAATTGAAGCTACCACCAAGAAGTCAAATTTGATTAATTGAAGCTGCTACCAACCTGAATTCGGGAAGTTTCAGAGTGATCCACCTCCAATGGCTTGCAACACTACATTTTAAACAAATGTCAAATAATAAGTTATTTATAGAACAACTAGTAAGTAGGTATTTAAAAATATAAATAAGTTAGTAAACCGTACCTTCATGGTATTCCTTTTCTTGCTCGGATTCGGGCACATCTTCTTCATCGTTTAAAACAATTTTATTGTTACTTCTCAGCCAATCACCACCACAAATCAAAGCCTCAGCCATCTGGGAGCCAAAGAAGTTCTAAAACCATTTAGAACCCTTCCTCTTGTTCTAAATGCCGACTCGGAAGAAACAGTTGATATTGGGATAGCCAATACATCCTGAGCTATTTCAACCAAAATAGGAAATCACAAAACATGAGTTGACCACCACTTAAGAATATCAAAGGATTCGACAACTGCAACATTATCTTGCTGTTGTTTCTCCTTGAATTGACTCTCGGTTAACTAGAGTGTCAACTCAAAAGCATCATTGTCGTTTCCTTCATCGTCACTATCTTCTATTGCACTACACGAACCACGATTTGATAGCCTCCTAACATCAACATTAAGCAAAGCTTGCTTCCGAGATTGTGTAGTAGAGTCTTGAGAGTTAGTGTTTTTCCTTGGATGAGGTGGAAGCAACAAATTTTTGTAATACTCAAAGAGTTCAGAAAATAACTCTCTTAATTTAGCCACCATTGCAGTTGCCCTATCCAACCTGTATACCTTCTTCAAACATTTCTGTACATGCTTAAGCTTTTGACGTGGATCCAAAGTCGCAGCTATGTATAAGATCTTGTTCATCCTGAAGTTACCGACTACTTCTTCCTCCCAATACTTAGCAACCTTGGACCTTTTTTTTTGTGCCATAGTGCTAATCTTAGGATCTGCTTGCTTTTCCACATTGGCTATGTGATCAAATATATCACACATCTTTTTGAAAAAGAGATGAGATGTCACATATGAGGTGCGAGAGACGAGACAAGTCAAGTCATAGAACTTCTTCAAGTATTCCATCATCCAACAAACATTTACCCAATCCTTCGGTCCAGATGTACCAACAACAATATCACGATGCATCATTTTGCTTAACTCAGTTTTGAATGCAGGCAACATTCCTGCATACACTGGAAAAGCTGTCTCGAATGGTTCAGCGAACTCTAACATTACATATATTGAGTTCCATCTTGTTGGCACATCAAGAGTTAGTAATCTCTTGCATTGGATGTTCATGCTATTGGTTGCCCTCCTTCATATCTCCTCCCTCGATGGCGAAGCAGTAATCCACTTCATGGCTTCCCTAATCCTTCTCACTGACAACCCAATCTCATCAAAGCCATAAGAAACAACCAAATTAGTGATATGCGCTACACAAGGCATATGTAGGTATCTCCCCCTGATATGTTGATCCCCCATTATTCAAATTTCTCCCTCATATGACGAACTGCTATGTCATTATCCGATGCATTATCAACTGTGAAACAAAGGACATCTTTCAAATCCCACTCATTTAAACACGTCATCCCTGTGTGAGCAATGTCCTCCCCTTTATGACTAGATATCTTCTTGAAGAATATGATCCTCTTATGGATATGCCAAATTTTGGAGATGAAATGCGCAGTGATAGTTATGTAATTATCGTTCTTCAACAATCTCCAACATTCCATTGTGATTGAAACCCGCCCCATGCATATATCTTTGAAGAAGGACTTCAAGCTATCTTTTTGATGAATAAACAACTTTGCACAATCTGTCCTCACTGTCTTCCTACTAGGAATATTGAACATTGGGAAAACACGAGCAATGAAATGATGAAATCCCTCCCTTTCAAAAATTTGAAAGGTTGCTCGGCAAGCATGATCATTTCTGCAAAAGTTAACCGTGAGTCTTCTTGAATGAATCGCCAAGCTGATATCTCGCCTTGTCCGTCCGTGGAGGAACCTGGTTGGAAACTCAGATTCGGTTATTGTAGCAGGTCCAAATGTTTCTTCTCACAAGAGGCCTTATGGGTCTTCAAGACATTTGTGCCATGGGTGGTTGAGACAGAAATGATAGTTCAACAACGTTTACATTTTCCTTTCCGAACCTCAACCAATGGATCTCCTTCTGTAGTAAATAACAATGTGAATCCAATCCAATGTGGTGATTGAAGGCTAGATGCTTTCCTTTTTCTAGAATCCGACCCAATCAATGGTTCTTCATTAACCACAACATTACTTGCTTGTTGAGTTTGAGGTACTTTAGAGACGGCACATGCTCTTGACTAGCCATCAAAAATCAAATAACATGGGAATAAACATCATCATGAGATAAGTAAGAAGAATTTAACTACTGAAGACTAAGGTAGGAGCAAGAAAACCACTATGAAAATCAAATATAATAGATAGTTAGAGAAGCAAACGACATGGCTGTTTTTATCTCCTGCTAACCTCTGCATTAGCAAAAACAATGCAAGTCATGACCTCTGTGAGTCTGTGTTTATCCTTTTTAGTTTATGCAAATCTTAACTAATCCATATGTTTTTATCCGTTTCCTTTTTGTTGATACTTTCAGAGAGACATTAAAGAATTCAAGGTTAGGATAAATGGAAAATGGGAAGCCCTCGACTGTCTTTTTTTTTCTTCTTTCAAAATCTGAAGTAGGAGTAAGAGTAACACTAGTACTCGACAGCAGATAATAGAGAATTGGAAGTATGAATTGAAATTACCCAAAGGCACCCAGGAAGAACTCAGAAGTATCATTGTATCAATTGAATGAAAACTTACCCCGAAGATAGGCGAACAGATGTTATCGGTGTCGGGGAGAAGGAGCTCGAAAGCCAAACTCCAATTCTGTGGCTGATTGCGGAATGGAGAGTGAGCCAGGTAGCCAACCGTCTCGACTTCTTCCAAGGGAATTGGGAATGCTAGAGGAGAGGAGCGGCCGAAGGCTGAGTGGGAAGGCCGACGTCCAAAGGGAAATAGTCGTCGGGGTTGGACGGAGAGGAGTGTAGGTGGTCTACTGGTCTTCTCACTTCTGCTGCCTTCTTCCGAGTCACGACTCACGAGTGTTTGAGGGAGGGAGAGGACGAGAGATGAGACTATCTCACTGTCACGGAGAGGCTAGGTTAGACTTGGCCTGGACTGGCTGAAATGCCGAATGGGCTCGGGCTGTTGTTGTATTTCACTTTCAGACTTTCAGTAAGTGTTGTAACGAATATAACGGGTACCCGTATTACCCGAACGGGTATTAGCGGGTAACCCGCGGGTACCCATTGTTGAAATAATCCCAAGTCCCACCCCGCGATAAATAAAATGGGTATTTGGATACCCGTAACCTTAAGAAAATAGGACGGGTATGGGTATAGCCAAATACTTGTTTCCCGTTGCCCACCCCTATATGAATGGTTCAAGTGTGTATCAGCAACCCTATTATTGCTTTTGCGGATTTGATGAGCTTTGATAGCTTTCTGTGTTTTTTTAGGTCAAAGTAGACTAGTGGACCACTTGGTAGCCGAAGGGGACATCGAAATCCAGTTGCTGAAACCGAGACTCGAAGAGAAGACATACTTAAGGAATAGACACCCAAAACGCCTTGGCCTCCGTTATGACGTGGCACCTTTACTTCGTGAGAAATTTACATGGGAGCTTCCTTATTCACTGCCCAAGAGTTTGGAGCTTTGTGATTGATTGGATATGCAGTAGATACAAGTTTCTCTCCCCAGAAAGCATAATCAAAGGCCTATAAATAGGCCTCAAGAGATAGAAATCGGGAGGGAGAGACGAGAGGTTATGGAAGGATTGTTACTCTGCCGACAGAGTGACTCACTTGACCTAGAGCAAAACCAACCAAGAGGGAGGATTCGGTGCAAAAAACAACTGCACAGGTTCTGATTTCTCTATTGTGGCCACCAATTCCAGGGGCTCTCTGGGATGTCGTTTCGATCGATGATCTCTCAGGAACCCTTTGCTTAGGAACTGTTCCCCATTGCTGGCTAGTTCCTTTGAAGAAGAACAGAGAGATTAAGAATTGAACTTTTCTTTTTGTTTGATTTCTTTAGTTAATATTTAAAAAAGATGGGAGGAGATGGGATGACAAAATGTAAAGATATGTTATGTATTTTTAATTTTTTAATTATTTTTTGGATTTATCATTTTTTCTTTATCTTTTAAAAATTTTATGGCTAGTGACACTCTATTTATAGTGTTTGTCACTCCCATTCTTCATACATCCCTTCTATCAAGACATCTTTAGTCTTCAATAATATTTCATATCTAAATCGCAACTATTTGATCAATAAGCCTTTAATAGACATAGATTGTGTGTTTATACTCTTTGATGCCTTATGGGTATGTTTGGTTTTATAGGTTTGAATGTACAAAGCAATCTAAGAAAATTCAGATTAAGCATTGGAGAACTATAAATGACCAAAGGAGCTATATAGAAAATAAATATGGAGCTTTCTTGAGAAAGATGAGGTCGAATGACAAAGGAGGTAACTATAAGTCAGTTAAACTCAAGACAAACCCATAGGAAGAAGACTCGGCCCAAGTTGATGAGAAAACCAGTGATGGCCAGCATCGGGTCCAACCGCCATTGGAGGAGGCTTGGACAAGAGGTGACCAAACTGCAAGGAAGGATCTCCCAAGGTTAAAGGAGCCCAACACACAAAGAAAACGAGCGGCGGTTGGGACCGCCGCTAAATCCCTAACCTTTCTCAAGAAGTTTGCTTAGCGCACAAAGAGTAGGACACCCTCTCCTAGTCGATGAATGAAATTCTTAGCCGAGTTTTTCCTTTATAAATAGAAGGCATGACTCATTAGCTTGGTAAGGCTTCACAAACACACACAAACTTTTGTACTCTGCTCGAGTAAGAGCTTAGCTTTTGTAGGAGAGTCTGCAACTAAGGAGATGTCGTCATCATTGATGGTGGTACCCACCTTCTCTTGTATGCAGCTATTTCAAAATTGATTGTATGAAGATGTGAACTCGTTCATCTTTATGTGAATGAATGTTATGATTTCATGTCATGCTTGTGTTTATCTATATGAATTTTGATGCTCATTGTCTATTCATGGATGCTTAGTAGTGATACCCTAGATTTATAAGAAATTGCCTTCTACTGATACCCTATTGATGACACACAAGTATAGAGGGAATGATCAACCATCTATACCTCGAGTAGTATCAATGCTTTATTGTTAGATGGTGTAGACCATCAATTATAGTTTGTAGAAACACACATTTAATTATGTGATATCCTAACTTCATTTTTATTCATTAATTAGGTGATGGTCTAAAGTGAAGACATGCATTAGCTAGTTAAATTTCTATCACAAGAAGCGCATATACGAGTAGAGAATGACTTTAGTTGAAGGGATAGAGTGATGCTATAGATGAAGCATTGATGCATATTGTGATTAGCCCTAGTATGCATGATAGTACTTGATTTTTCTCTCTTCTACAGTAACATATATTTACTTTTATGCATCTATAAATTGAAAACACACCTAAACAACTTTACTATTCTTACTTGCTTGTTTGTTAATTGAAAAATCCTAAATGCTCATGTTATTTTCGTGTGAGTCTTGGATGGTTTGGTGTGCTTAGTATGTTGCTTATATGTTTATTACTATTACTATTACTATTATTTCTTTCTTAATCCCCAAGTAGAAATTAGTAGATTCCTACTAGGAAAAGGTTGGTTGGCGGCCGTTATGTGGCCGAGTGGTTTAGGATTGGCTATTAGGATTACGGTTTGTTTTTACTATAAATATGTTCTTGCCGTTCAGTTATTATAATCGAATAAGAAGAATATTTAGTTTATCATATCTTTTATCTTTCGTATCTTAGGAGTAGAAGTAACTTAGCTATTTTCTCCATGTTTGCGGGAATTTATACGCAAGTGGTATCAAAGTCTGGTTGCGAGATACCGAGCTCGGCGAGGTTCGCATACAAGGCACAAAGTTACAAGGAGTTTCTTCCTCGTGAAGCTAGGCGCTACCCTATCTACCCGTCTCCACCACGACCACCGTCATCGCATCCTTCATCTTCACATCATCCGCCATGGTTATATCAGGATCAACACGACTATCAAGACCAGCGGAGATTAGCCGCCGGGGTTAGAGCTGCAGAAGCTGCTGCGTACCATCCGCCGCCTTTGTCATATCAACCATATGTGATTCAAGATCAATCCCCGTACCTGCTAGGATGGGAGGCGCTGGACTGGAGAGATCGGTGTTATCGTGCAACCCGTAACCACGTAGAGGGGTGGGCTGTCGAAGCTCAATCTTGGGATGTCATAAACCAGTTGGTCCCAATAACTCAAGTTGTTGGGAGAAGGTTATGCTGGATCTTATACAGGCCCATGTATGGTACTTAACCACTTCCTTACACGCCCTCTCAAACAAAAGCCGACTCATGGACTTGAAGTTTGCACAGGCCCGCCATATGATGACTCGATATTTGCACATGTTTTCCCTTTTGTTTCTTGATTGTTTAAGCTTTCATTATCGCTTCTTTGGCCTATTTTACGCTAGGTTGTGTTCCTTTGCCACATTTCAGGTCCTAGCACATAAAGTGAAGTGTAGGCGCAAGTTTCAAGTCAATCGGAGATCAATTGGCAACTCGGGGGAAGAAACTAGGGTATGACTTGAAGAAGAATTTATTTCTACCTCAGTTTGTGACAATATAATCATGTGATCTTGTCATGATAAGAAAGAGGACGAGACTACGAGCATCTGGGATCAAACGACACCTGATTTGGAGTCCGAACAAGGGAGAAACGAAGAATCAAAGATAGGGGAAAATTGGTTTCGGGCTTCTCTGATAAACAGAAGGGGGCCCTATCGTGACACTAAAATCCCCGGTAAGGGATTTCTGGCCTTGACAGGGGATTTTACCCTGTCTCCAGATGTTGTGTTTTCAAAAATCCCCGGTCGTGAACCAAAAATCCTCGGCCGTGACCTAAAATACCCGACAGGGGATTCTGACCGGGGATCGCGAACGCAGGCTGTTAAAAGCCTGTTTTGTGAGTTTTTGCAAGGGAGAGCTGGGTTTTGGATCCCAAACACCCAAGGGATGAACCAAAGAGAGATAGGGCGAGTTGAGGGCATTCTTGGAGTGGAACTGGAGGATTTCTTCGCCTTGGAAGCTCGAGGAATAAGCCCGGACTTGAAGACTGATCATCTGAAGATTCTTACTGCCGTCTCTCTCTTCTCTATGGAGTAACTTCCCTTCACTTAGGTTTTGATGAACCCTAGCTATGTTTGTTTGATTGGATGATTGTATGAGTACTCTGACTTGATAACCTTGAGTTCATATTCAATCTATGCATGTTTTCATGATTCAATTCTGCTTTAGTCGAGATTATTGATTCTGCTTTGATCCTATGAGAGCGAATACCTGATTAGGTCAATAGAGCACCATAGATTGATAGTATTGGATCGATTTCTTTAGTCGAGGGTTGGTTCACTGCTTTGTATCAATTGAGAACCTCATTCGATAGAGGGAATCTAGTTCAGAACGCCTTGATCGGTTGTTCTAGAGAAGGATACGTCCCTCTAGGCAATTGACTCAAGAGGGCCTTGTTCCTTTAGTCGAGACTCAAGGTCTAGTCAAGGATTATCTGTATTGTGAATGAAAGTGAAACAAGTTAGAAATCATCAATCGTTAATCTGGCTAGTGGCTAGGGGGAATCATACCTAAGTGAGTTCCCAACCTGTAATTAGATTAACTTTAACTGTAGTTTGCTAGAGTAGTTTTAGTTCTTTCATCTTAATCTGGTTTGCTAAATAATAAACTGAAGCTGAGTAATAGTAACTCTAGAGACCCATGGATTCGATATTTATCACTTGAGCCACTATACTGCAGTCCCTTTCATTGGTTACACTTGGCCTTTGTTAGGATTTATGTCATAGCGAGTCACCATACCATGTGCTTGAAAGACAACGGTTAATATTGGGGGTCGTGAGGACTTGAACATGTGACCTCAAGGACAAACTAGCTCTGATACCATGTAATAAACCAGTTGGTCCCAATAACTCATGGGAAGCGGCAGAGACAACTATGGGAGCTGAATCTTATTGTGCATGGACGTACCATCAAGACCTAGGAAGTTTGGTAAGCATTGCTGAAGTTGTCGACTGGGCCTGGATCCGTTGCAATGGTGGTGAAGAAGAGGCACTACAAGGCCGACGGGAATAGTTGCGCATCTGGCCGTTGTTTCGGGCGACGTTGTAGCTGAAGACTCTCCGAGGTCAACGATGAGCAAGTTGGGAGCAACTTCTGTGAAGGTTTTGGGAACACGCAAGTAGACTCCTCAATTATAGGGTCACCGTCCACGAGGAGAAGGGTGAGCTGTGCACTGGGCTGGTCCGAGGTAGAGCGGATCGAATGACCAAGCAGGAGGAGGGATTGAATTGAGCCTCATGTAGTTTGGATGCTGGGCCGAAAGTCTTGGTAATTGAGGAACACCGCCGGGACACAGCGGCTGGAAGAGGAATGATTCGCGAACTCATCGGACCATCAATGGGAGGATTAACCGATGGATTATTGTGTGGGGTTTGAATAACAACGCAAGCCAGTGGGGTGGCTAACATGAGCTTGGGTGGAGGCCAGGCGTTTATTGTCTCTCAACCCAGGGAACGTGGCCATTTCGATCATGAACCAGGGAGCATTGAGACTTCGTATGGGTCATTGCTTGGAGGAATCGTGGAGCAAAAGAACCATGATTATTTCAGTTCTAGTGCATCTATACATAGCATGTATGAGGGATGGTTTTTGGAGGAAGGAGATTGGTGGACTTGGTCCATGGAGGGGAAGAAGAATGGTGGTGCTGAAGTGTACTCCACTAGCTGCAAGAGCTATCTAGCGGGTATGAATGGAGGCAGGGAGTTGATGATGAATTTGGTAGGGAACACGTGGTTGCTGTTGATTGTGACAGTGTGGAGGGGTTGCCGCCGATGCTTGCGGAATATGGGAGGGATACATGTGATTCATTGTTATTGCATGGGGGATCTCCTGAACGTAGATGAGAGCAGGGATATGAGAGCTAATAGGGAGCATCTTGCTCATGGAGAAGGGTCAGTATGCGTTGGCGGATCTGTTCGACAGAGCGCTATTGGAAGTCTTGCAAACGTAAGAAGTATCATTCAATGCTCAGTATCGTCTAAAATAAGCGGAGAAATTTCTTCTATGTTCATCCAGGTTGAGTACATTGAAGATGTTGAATGTGTACCAGATGGAGGAGTTGTACCACATCGATCAGACACTAAGGAGCCTCCTGCATGACGATGTATTACCACCCAGAAGCAATTGAAGAGCTGGGGAGAAACGGTGTAGTCTCCGTTAGTGTTGGATACTATTTTCATTTTTATTGTACACCTACACTTGTCTTGCTTTGATTAGTTGGTAATTTGTATTTTCGTTTATTACTGTTGTACAGTTGTAGTTTGGTTAACTTTCCCCTTCCCTTCTTGAAGAAGGAGTTGGGTGTTGATATATATATACAAGGCCTTGAGCCACAATGAACCTGAGAGGTTTCATTCCAAGTATACAAAGAGTATGGTTTGAGTTAATTCGCTAATTAACTCGAATCTTGGGGACAAGGTTCTTTCAAAGAGGGGAGGAATGTTGCGTATATGTTTATTACTATTATTACTATTGCTTTCTTATTCCCCAAGTAGCAATTAGTAGAGTCCTAGTAGGAAAAGGTTGGTTTGCGGTGGTTACATGACCGAGTGGTTTAGGATTGGCTATTAGGTTTAGGGATTGTTTTTACTATAAATATGTACTTGACGTTCAGTTATTATTATCGAAGAAGAAGAATAAGAATATCTAGTTTATCGTAGCTTTTATCTTTCGTATCTTAGGAGTAGAAGTAATTTAGCTATTTTCTCTATATTTGCGGGAATTTATACACAACATAGTATGGAGTAGAATACTTCATGGAATATGACGCTAGGCATCCCTTAGGAATTTTATAAGTTCGATCTATATTGCACATTAGCTGCTAGTTACTCGAATCTAATCAAATTGTTGCTACTGATGACCGATATATGGCTAATGTGGGTAAGTCCAATAAAATTAGTTTTGGTTGTCGCCTTTCAAAACTTGCCAATGATTGTTATTGGTTAACAACCTAAGCATGAGATATAAGATTCATTATTTTCTAGTAGAGCACATTGTACTAATTATACACTATTAGAAGACTAATGTTAACCCTAAACAAAAGCCATAATGGACCCGAACATAAAATATCCGAATTCATTATAAAAAAAGCCGGATGAAACCACATCCATTGAATTAGGAGTGTTGTATCTGAGCCCGCATAAAGGTGCATGTTACACCCCCAACCCCCACATTTTGCAATTCGTTCTTGAACCCGAACTCGCTAATCGAACAACAAGACCCGATAATATTGATCCTAGGCCAGTAAATAGATTTAAAACACCGAAACATACATGAATCCAGGATATTTATAGTTAGAACCTTTTTGTGCTAACTGTTAAGCAAATATCCTAGTCCAAGTGTCGTGTGATTTGCTGCATAGTCAAGGGAGATTAGATACCGTCACTTCCCCTCAGTGATTTTCGCTTCCCTCTTCCCATCCCTAGATCCCTCTTCTCCCTTCCCCTATCTTCATCTAGCGGCTGATATTCATCAGGGGCAAAAAAGGGAGGTGCCTCACTGGATTAGCTCCCTACCCAAGCCATGTTTGCTGAGATTCAATCTTCGGGATTGAAAGGGAAAGATTTTCAGAGACCATTCGGCCACCTTCCGAACGTAGAAATCCTTCGCCTGGCAATCTTCCCTCTTCCCTCCTTCTCATCACGAAACCAAAAAATAAAACAAGCCATCGTCGCTGATTTCCATTGTTGTCGCCTCTCCACTACATCATCTCGCGACGTATCTCTGCTGGATTCGCAGGCTTGTTCTTTGAGAGTAGAGGTAAGTCCACTCCTTTGTTTGCTTCTCTCTGATACATGTCGTTTGGAATTCCATTCGGTTGAATTTCCATTGACTGGGTTAAACTGGTCGTTCCCCAGTGGCCTTCGACGCTAGAATCCACAAGCCCTAACATTGCTCGCTTGTTCTTTTTGTGCTTCGCCTGACTGACTACCGACGTCGACCCTTGCTACAGCATTTGAATATACAACATGTGAAGTTCTTCATCCTTGAAGTTTTTGATTTCCGATCCGCACGTTGGAATCGAAGATGCAGACCTTCGTTTCTTGTGTACCCTGTTTGTTTGTGTATATTCATTGGTACTTGGAATTGGTATCGATGTGCTAGTGGTAGTTAAAATTGATTGTTTTATTGCCAGCGGTAGTGGTATCAGTATCAAAACTGGTTCTTGTACCAGTACGCCAACTGATTCGTGTACCAGTACCAATAGTTGTACATGAACAAGTATCACTAGTGATCGTTGTACCACTACCACTAGCAAAGGAGGTACCAGTACCACTAGTGATACTTGTTAATCTGAAGAGATACAAGTACCACTAGTAATATTGGTATATCTTGGAGAGATACCGGTACCACTTCCACCGTTAGTGTATCACATGCTTTACATGGAGTTGGAATTGTAAGTTTTAATCAACATGTCTGACAGATGTATTTGTGTTATTTTGCTACCAGGAATGGCGAGAACAAAGGTTCCATACTACAATTGATGACCCAAGTAATATGATGGTGGAGGAGGTGACGGGTAGAGCTTTGCAGATAAAGGAGAGTTTACTCCATGGATATACCCAGCAAACCCAGAAGTAGTTTGTTTCCACAGTCTGAGTAGTATGCGTTTGGTTTATGTTCATTATGGAGTAAGAACAAAGTTTTAGACGTTGTGAAACTAGTAGTGGTATTCCTTTTAGTTCCATTTTTATTCCAAATTTGAAGTTGAACCAGATGTGTTGTTGAAAAATAGGATTGTTGTTGAATCAGTTAATATGGTGTTGTGTTACAAGAGTAGTTAACTTGTTTTTCTAATCGCAAAGTGACCAGTAGTGATACAAGTACTAATAGTGGTACAAGTAATAGATGTGGTATTGTTATCAAAATCCTCTATTGGTTCTTAGTACCAGTACGACTAATGATTATTGTACCAGTAACAATAGTGGTTCATGTACAAGTACCACTACTGGTTATTGTATCCGTACAGGTAATTAGTAAAGGTAGGGATCAGAGACAACAAGTTGGGGATCGGAAACCACTCTTGGCAAATTTCCCCAATAGTTGTATATGTGCCAGTAACTATTACTAGTAGGGATCAGAGATCAGAAGTTCGTGCAACTACTGGATATTATTACCAGTATGAATCAATAATAGTGGTACAAGTAAGCATCACTGGTTCACTACAAAACTCTATGGGTAAGAAAATCTCATCAGAATAATGAAACATCTGTCACAATTGACAATTTAAACTGTATCTTGTCCCAAATACCACTAAAAGTCTACCAATACAAAACTACCATTACAAGTTAGTCGTACAAAACTACCACTACATGCGTACCAATACAATTGTACCACTACAAAACTACCACTACAAGTGTACCAGTACAAAGCTACCACTACCAATACTAACATAATAGCACAAGCATACTACTGGTACCGTTCTCTCTTTCCATCAGTTGTAACATTAAAAAACCTAATATCAGTTCAACGAAATCACACTAGTTAACCCTACCGAGATTATTGCCTCCGACGGCATTCCTCATGTCGTCGTCATCTTCTTCAGCGTGCTCGACTGGGAGAGGCACGCAATCCTCGTCGTTCACAATTATTGCCTCTGGAGGCATTCCTCATGCCGTCGTCATCTTCTTCAGCGTACTCGACCGGGAGAGGCACGCAATCCTCGTTGTTCGCGATTTGTCATCGTTCGCGATGAAGCAAAATAAACCAGTCCCGTCGGATCCCCCCAAATCTTTGTCGCCGTTCATTATGTCGGCGTCAACGAGAAGTTGCTCCGACGTTGCTTCCAGTTCGTTAGGCTACCTACATTGCCTCTGCTGAAAGATGAAGAATCCGAAAATGGTAGGGGAACCATCGTGGGCGGTTATGGCTAGTGCTAATCCAATCCCACAAATCACGCATACCAATATTCCCCATGCATTTACTATTTTTTTTTAAAAATTCCGTCAATTCAGTATTGAAATTATATTTATTATCACTTTTTCTTTCCTTTTTATTTTAAAGGTTACTCAAGACTTCCCAAAACACTTTTTTTGTGTTGATAGCCGTCGAATTTGGAAGGGAGATGGACGGCTCTAATATGGGAAGTGAAACTCTGTGACCAGATCCTGCCCCCAGTCAACAAAACGCAGAGTAATCAACCTACAAATGTATACAAAAATTTACAAAATCACGACCTCTACATATGCCAACCCTAGATTCAGCCGTCGGTGCGGTGGGTTTCCCAATGAATGGCTTCCACAATTGGTAGTCCAACCATTTCCTCTTTGCCTAGTTGTAATTGATAGTGGGTCAAAGTCGTAAACATAGAAAATGGACCCTGTTAGGCAGGCTGTTACAGTTGGAATTTGGAAGGGCTTCTTGGCTCTAGCTCTGTTCCCTTTGTTGTATATAGTATTAGTTTATCTGTCGAGGATCGGGCCCATAACACAACAAACAAGACGGCCCAGATTGATGATCCGCCACCTTTTCTGGGCATATTGTCTTTGTCTCCATTGTTTAACATATGAGGGCAAATGTCACATGCAACTCATTGCGGACATCTTGTCTTATGGTTTTAAGTTCATGTCCCTTTCAGCTTTGCCGTTGCAGAAGAATCCCTAAAAACCTCAAAATTATCAAACCATATCTGTGCTGTGTTAATCTTCAACATGATTAGCGCTTATTGTTTATGTACGTTGTCCATAGAAGATATAAACTTAAGGGATTGGAACTATATAAGGGTCAAGTGCAGGGGCGGAGGTAGTTTGAGTTTGGGGTTTGGCCACCGAAAAATTTCAATTTTGAACCTAAGTGTGCCGGAGATTTTGCAAATTATGTATAAATCAACTATTGGGTCGTTTGGATGGATTAATTACAAAATGATTAACAAAATGATTAATTTAAAACGAATCAGTTCAAAATTCAATTTATCTGCTCCTACTCTAGACAATTATAATTGTCTCAAAACGAGTCAATTCAGAATTTTCCATGCTAAATTGTTTCATTCAAATCTTCTACTGTCAAACGAGTCAATCTACCTTAATTATCTCAAAACAAAATAATTGTATTAGATTGATCCATTAGAATTTTTCGCTATAATTGATATATAAAACTCATCAATCATGGGGCGTATGAATTTGAGAAAGAAAAGTCAAATACCTTAATTATCTCAAAATAAAATAATTGTATTAGATTGATCCATTAGAATTTTTCGCTATAATTTATATATAAAACTCATCTATCATGGGGCGAATGAATTTGAGAAAGAAAAGTCAAAGAGTAGCTAAAATTCCATAAATTCTTAATAATCTATTTATATGCTTCTCATCTTGATCATCATGAATTACCTTGCCGCGTCCTCCCACCATAGACCATTAGTATCCACTTTCCCACAATAGTAATATAGTATACGAACAAAACAATGCCCCAAAGACGCAACCCCAAAAAGCAAATTCAACGTCAAAACAAACAGCACAAACCCTACCCTAAAGCTAAAAACGCTTCTTCTTCTAAATCCAAAAGAAGAAAGAAGCCACCACCAGCTCCAGATCCCCAAAGACCGGCCCACTAACTAATGCAATGTTTTAGAAACTATGCAATTGTTAGAATGGATGTATTGTATCAATAATTGTATTGTAAATTGATATATTATCTAAATGCATGTATTATAAGATTACATTGTTTGGTAGTTGTGATTGTAATTTTAGGAATAAAATGATAAAGTTACTTTTTAAATGAAAGGTCATGTTTATCCTTTCTTTTACATAGAAGAGTAAAAATGCATAGAAGTTGATAGGAATATAAAAGGAAAGAAAAATGGAAGAACAATCTCAAAACAAAATCTCACAAAATTGTTGAGATTGTAAATCATTCATATTGAATGATTTCAAGTGTCACATCATCAATGAAATGCATGCATTATTTTTCATTTTGACACAAAATAACTATGCATTTCTATACAATACGTGCATTCATTAAATGCACCGTTTAGATATGCATATACCAAACGACCCCTTTATTCCACCGCCTGGAGCCCTGGAATGGAAATTTCAGATATAGGACCCCAAACCAATAGACGATCTAATGTTATAAAATAGTTCAATTATGATTAAATTAAAAAAAATTGATAATTATATCTTCATTAAGCAAGCTTGATCAATATGATCAAGCCTCACAAGAAACTCAGACAAAACATCTCACATCATCAGACTGCATATAGTCAAGCTGCAAAAAAACACTCCACCTATTACAGAGGTACTTCTCAAATTATCCTTAAAATTTACATTGCCTAAAGGTAACAAAGCAACCTTAACCCTGAGCTGTGATAACAACACCTCCCATTGTTTGGATTGTCCACCAAACACACGCCTGCATCTCCTCCTCTTTTGCACAAAGCACACATAAATCATCAATTTTCCTAGTATAAGTGTACAACTTTTTATACAATTTCATAATCCTTGAACTAAACACAGAATAAAGAAAATCACACCATTAAATTCCCAATTAATTGCCAAGTGGGACAGTGGGTCTTCCATTAATTACAGTAGCCGACTACCAGGCTTAGTATCTTAATGACTAACAAGATTCAAACCATTTCTTTAATAATTTCTTCCTTTCCTCTCATAATAATACATTTTAATTTTTCAATTACTACCCACAATCTACAGGTCCCATTCAATCATGCCAGCTTGCTCTCTCTCCTTCTCAGGCCGGTCCACTTCATTCTGTACACACTGCTACACTCAGAAACAACGCTTTCTTTCAATCGGTGTCCCATTTCTATTACACGCGCACTTTCTGTCTCTTTTGCCTTCCTTCCTCCCTTCCACTTTCTTGGCAGAAATTTCTGTCACAAAGAGAGCAGAGAGCTGGAAGGAAGGAAGGAAGGGGGGAAGACAAAAACAGAGTAAATGTCGAGCAGTTCGTTTCTGAACAATGAGCTATCGAAGAAGACTTCAATCTTCGGTTTGCGATTATGGGTCGTGGTGGGTATCTGCGTGGGAGCCGCCATAGTTATTTTCCTCTTCCTAATCTCGCTCTGGTTCACCACCAAGCGCAGCAGAAGAACCAACGCTAATAGCAGTAGCGATACTCCCCCTTCGGCTCTCCCTAAGTTCAAGCCTTCTCCCGTCAACAACCAGATTATCCCAAATGTCTCCAAGGAGATAACAGAGATTCGGGTCGACCCGGCTCCTCCTCCTCCGGTCTTGAACCCGAACCCCGACCCGGATACGAACCCTGTTCCGGATCAACTGCAACAGCAACAGCACAGCCCTGTTTCCTCTGCCTCCCGCAACAGAATTCAGTTCGAGATTGGGAAGGACCACCGGATTTCGTACCCGGACAGGGCCGGCGGGTCGGGTCACGGGAGTGGGGAGACCCGGTCGGGTCCCCGGTCCGGCGACCAGGGCAGCACTGGTGCGATGACGGTGCCGGAGGTTTCGCATTTGGGTTGGGGCCATTGGTATACTCTCAGGGAGCTGGAGCTGTCTACTAATGAATTCGCCGATGAGAATGTGATTGGGGAAGGTGGGTATGGGATTGTTTACCGTGGAGTTTTCGGTGATAAAACTACTGTCGCGGTCAAGAATCTGCTCAACAACAGGTTAGCGACTGTGAAGTTGAGAACTTTTGTGCAAATTAGGAGTGCCCTTTTCATCTGCATGCAAAGGAGGGCTTTGTAGGATTAAAGCTTTTCTACCTTTGTTGTTTTCACCTCTTGATGCTTAAAGTTTGTGGCTTTTTGGGTTTTCCTTTAGGGGTCAGGCCGAGAAAGAGTTTAAAGTTGAAGTAGAAGCAATTGGACGGGTGCGGCATAAGAATTTGGTGAGGCTGCTAGGTTATTGTGCTGAAGGTGCTCACAGGTAAGTCAATGAATTCTCGATTTCATGGTTAATGTCAGGATTTTGCGGTGATGTAATTAAAGGGTCTGCTCCGTTTTTGGTGTGTATTAGGATGCTTGTTTATGAGTACGTTGATAATGGCAACTTGGAGCAGTGGCTTCATGGTGATGTTGGCCCTTGCAGTCCTCTCACATGGGAGATTCGGATGAATATAATCAGTGGGACTGCCAAAGGGTATTTAAACTGATTGATTCTGTGAGCTTCAGAATTTCAACATGATGTTCTTTTTTCTGGTCAAATTCTAAGAACTTTGTGTCTAGGCTAACATACTTGCACGAGGGACTCGAGCCAAAGGTGGTTCATCGCGATATAAAATCAAGCAACATTTTGCTTGATAAGCAGTGGAATCCGAAAGTTTCTGACTTTGGTTTGGCAAAGCTTCTGGGATCAGAGAGAAGTTATGTGACGACTCGAGTAATGGGAACATTCGGGTTAGTCTAATTGTTTCTGGGCATTCTCTTGCATAGCTTCCTTTTTGTTATCTCCACTATGAGTTAGTGATCAAGTTATGTGATTCTACACAGGTATGTGGCTCCAGAGTATGCAAGTACAGGGATGTTGAACGAGAGAAGTGATGTGTACAGTTTTGGAATCCTTCTAATGGAAGTCATATCTGGAAGAAACCCGGTTGATTACAGTCGCCCACCAGGAGAGGTTATCAGCTTCAAAGACTTCCATTCAACTGTGTTTGATTGATTGATTGATTGCTCCAAAATGGTAGCTAACCTGATGGGTTGAATGTGTTACAGGTAAACCTTGTTGAATGGCTTAAAACAATGGTGACAAATAGGAATGCAGAGGGCGTCTTGGATCCTAGATTGCCAGAGAAGCCTTCTTCAAGAGCACTGAAGCGTGCTCTTTTAGTAGCTCTAAGGTGTGTAGATCCAAATGCTCAGAAAAGGCCAAAGATGGGGCATGTGATTCATATGCTTGAGGCTGATGAGTTCCCATTCCGAGATGTAAGCTTCTAAACTTCTGCCTAGAACCAACGATGCAAAGTTCTTAATTAGAATAACCTTAATGTCCATGTTATAGTATAATGATTCGATATTCACCATACAGTATCGTATTACCGAAACCATAAATAGTTTATATAGAGTAGAACAAGCGACCACAAGATTAATCCAAGAGTTTTCTCAAATTCAGGATCGTAGAACAGGAAGGGATCAAAGCCGCCCCAATCGGGATGGCTTCAGAACTGATAGACAGGTAATGGAGTCGGGTGACAGCAGTGGATACGAGAGTGGAGCTCAAACGAACAGATCTCTGTGGAAAAGATCTGAACTTGATGATCGGTAAGGGTATACGGGGAGTATTTGGATTCGGGTTATTCGGGGAGAACTTGTATGTGTTTGATTCTTCAGTCAGAGGCTCTGGCATATGTAAATGGTTCATTTTAACCAGCGCATATGCAGAAAGGTCCCCGAATTCCCATTTCGTGTTGTATGTTGCTTTCTTGTGATGTAATGTGTTGGTAATCCTGATAGCGTGAGGATTAGATGGTGACGGGGGCAAATCATATGTATGTAGAGTATGTACCTGTGTATGTAGAGGCTGCAATAGAAAATTTGTTTATTGTTGTAGGAGCAGGAATCTTTTGAGTCACATGTTTATGTCACGGAAGGTTTTCTGAGTTTGGGGGAATCTTCTCCTGGCCTCTGCATCTAAAACTGTCGGGAGGTTGTCAACCTTTGTAAAGATGGATTAAACCGAGGAGAAATAAAGCTTGAGCTGCTTCTGATGCAGGTGCTTGCTGCTGGTGCGGGCCCTGGTTTGTTTTTTGGGTTTTGTAACAACTAACAACACATGATGCCGTGGTTATATGCCACCTCAACAAACCGTGGGTTAAATTGTTGCAGCTAGTAGGGTGGGTTGGGTTGGTTTCGGTCTTAAATAGACTCACCCGCTTATTAACGAGTAGTACAATCGTGACGCAATCCAATTATACATTACTTTGAGTTTGTTTGTGGGTTAAACCGCAAACGCAATTCTTCAACATGTAATTAGGGCTGTCAATTTGGTTTGGTTTGGCTAACCAAACTATTAAGTATGCAAAACAAAAAATCAAATCCCAAAAACCAAAACCATTTAAGGCCCTTATTGGTTTTCGGTTTGCCAAAAATCAATAAGCGCTTTAATGGTTTTGGTTTTGGTTTGGATAACCAAAAAACCAACATGTACTCATACACTCATATTTATTTTCATTTCCCTCCTTTTTATTGAATTAACGTCATAATAATGGTAAATGGCCATTACAATTTTTTGGTTGGCATGCATGTCAAAAGAAACAAAAAAAAAAAAAAAATTGTTGATAAATAATTTTATTCTTATTGGTTTATTAATGGTTTCTATTGGTTTTTCGATTTTAACCAAACCAAAACCATTAAGTTTGCTTATTGGTTTAAAACCAAAAAACTGAAACCATTAGCTTCCCAATTGGTTTGGTTTCGGTTAAAACCAAAAAACCAAAACCAAATGGACAGCCCTACGTGTAATTAGGCAATTTGACTAATATTTATAATAAATTATTCACAAATTAGTAATATTGCATCAATTTATACACCTACTCCAATTTATTACCTATGGAGATCTCTAGCACTTAGTGGCGGACTCAGGATTGTTAAAGAGGGGTGTCGCCTAATAAAGGTGTATCGGCTATAATTATTAAAGCGGTGTTGGAAATCACGTATTAAAATTTTTTGTACAAAAAAGATATAGGTTATTCAAAAAAAATTTGGGTGAAGGGGTGTCGGACAACACCCCTTGCCAACAAGTAGGTCCGCCACTGCTAGCACTTGTATAAAATATTTCATTACTTCATCAACCAATTATTTAGAGAAAGTTCACATTTTTTCCCCACTTAGATACAATTAATAATTTATAGTTTACATCTCAATATCTAATGAAAATTATATACACAACATATTGACCAATTGTTTGCAGTAACCCAAAAATATTTTTTATTTTTCAACTTTAGAAGTCTATAGCCAGTGTGTAGTGCGGTAACTTTTTGTGAGTATAAATAAGAAACAACTATTTTTCAAGTAAAGACGTGGTGCGAGTCATTCGGGTGACCTGCAAGTCTCCAACCCACCCATCACCCATCTGATAAGTTCGCCATAAGTCAAAATCATAACTTTTGTGGCTAGTGATTAATCACTAACCATAGCGATTAGCCCGCAAATCCACCATAACCCAGTTAGACTAACAAATTTAATTTTACTTTTAAGTTTATCATGCTTATTAAGGACTAATTTTGTATAGGCTTAAATAATCCACTACGAAATCAATACTTATGAATTATAACGTGTGTTATGTGAGATTAATTTTCCTTTTGGAAAGCAATTGCTTTGTCTCTTTCTTCTGTCCCACAAAATTCAAATACCAAACTTGAAAAGGCAAAAACCCCATGTAAAGTAAGATATACAAAATTCCATATATATGAACAACACAACACTACATTAATAAAATCTAGTGGAGAATAGCGAATTTGTTGTTGCCGGCCGCAGTCTAAACGTAGAAAGATAAATTTTTACAGGTAACCATAACAAACCACACCTAATCGTAGTAGTGGTTATTGGTTAACTACTGTCTACTACGGTGCAATTTATATTAGCATTCTCCTAATTTTATAGTTGTGATTACTCCAATGTAGGGCGAGTACTCGCACCATTTTCCACTCATAATTGCTGCAATTGACCGCATTACAAATTACTTTTTCTTCTTTGATGCGTGATGCTCTTAACCTTTACTACTAAGAAATAATAATGCAATGTCGTCCTAGATTGGGTAAGTTCACAATGGACGGATAAATTAATTAAGGGTTAAGAGTTTGACTTTATCAATTCTAGCAATAAAAATGGTGGTTGGAAGTTGTGCTTTCACTATTCAGACAAATTCTCAATCCAATTCAATTCATCAATCCAATCCACCTAATCCAATCCATTTAAATCCAATCCATTTGATCTAAATCCAATTGGATTGGTGGATTCATGGATTGATCCATGGATCCAAATGGAAATTACGTTTTGATACCTATATTTTTTATATTTTGGTACCCAAAATTTATTTTTTTATACGAAAAATCTCATTGGAAAATTACGTTTTGGTACCTAAAAATTTTCATTATGACATTTTAGTACCTAAACTTTTTACATTTTACATATTGGTCCTTGGTTGAGGATGACATTTGGATTCATGGATAATCCACCAATCCACTTGATCCAATCCATGAATCAACCAATCCATTTGGTCTATGGATCCACCAATCCAATCCACCAATCCATGGATCAATCCATTTGCCACCTCTAAATACATGTAATCAGGAGAATTTGTAGTTTTTTTTTGTTTTAAAATGAAACAAAATACATGTATTTGAGTAGAAAATAAGCCACTAGAATCATTTATTATGGATGTTGTCAATCTTAGCTATCACACATTTTTTCTTCATGATTTTATAATGGACCACCAAAATCATTCAACTTTCAAACAATATATTTTTGAGATTCATACATCAACACAATGTTTCAAATTACATTTGATTAAACGTATTCCGCATCAAACTTCCAAATGACCATAAAAATTTATGATATTACCCGATGCAAGATTCGCTTTCAGATTCGCTTCAGATGCGGGTGAAAACTCTTTTTCTTTACCCACTAAAGTCAAACCTTCTTTTTAAAATACTAGCTTGTTGTCCGATCCGTTGTTCGGAATGTTATTTGAATACAATGTATTTATGATGTGTATTTAATTTCTTTAAATTATTTGAAATGCTGAATTTCATATGACATTATCGTGACATCAAAATTATTTTTCAAATTTTGAAATTCTTATAACTTTTCATCAAAATTGAACATTGTAATCTTAATGGTTATAACCAAAGTTGTCAAACTGGTTTAAGTCGTTGATCCGATCAATCAAATTGTTTGAAGTTTAATGGTTTGATTAAAGTCCAACCTGTTTGAGCGGTTTTACATATTTTCTAAATATATTTACATATGATATAGAAATTTAGTGACTAAAATGAAATGTACTAACTTATATCTATTAAAAATCCAAATTTTATAAAAAAATACCTATCTCAAGATCCACCACCATCCCCTTGCCTCTCTCCCCCCTCTCCCTTGCCTCTCTGTTCTTCTCCCTCTCTAACGATCATACCCTTAGTTTTGTAGAGCCCGTTTTGGAGCACGATTTTGGTCGGACCTAATCCAAGCAGTTTCCCAGTAGAGGTGTAACAAACTTGGTTATAAACTCGTGAATAACCATTCATAACTTGTCTATTTAATGATGTAGTCACTTAGTTGCATATGGTTGAAAAGAAAATTGGCATAACAAAAAAAGAGTTTATCTGAAAAAAACGTAGCATAAATAGGAAACTCATGATCATAACCTTTAATCAATATTTATTTCTTTTGCTTGAGAAACAATACATATATAGCAATATCTAAACCTAAAGTATTTTGCACATACAATACGAAAATTAGTAAGAAAATAACATTTTCCATCCATACTCAATTAAATGAAAAAATTATTTATCAACCAACATACTCTAAATTTATTTGAAGGACAATCTTATTCACTCAACAAAAAAATTAAATCTATCTTGTCGTACTTACCTTGCTAATGTACATGATCACATAATTGCGTTCATGAAAACTCCAACTCGACTTTCATGATTTGTCTTGTACTGCGGTTATTTCATATTAAACTAAGTTACTATGATGAACACACAATTACCCTTTCTACTTTTGCTCTAGTTGCAGGAAATTTGAAATGCTAAAAAACTGCCACAACTCTACAATAATATATTTGTAGACACGTCCTGACTCCTCGAGTGCTACCCTTGAAAGAATAAAAAGTTCTACAGAAAGGAACTCACTGTTCCCCAAGTCATTCAACAAGAAAGGAAAAGGGAAATAGTAAAAAAGTTGGTTGTCGTTTGGACACAAATGCCAAATAACCATCATGACAACTAATGCGAGCCGACGATTAAAGTAAAGAAACCAGTCATAGAAGATGGAAAAAATGAAAGTGAGGAAACCACATTTTGAATTGGGTTAATAGCATTTGGTGACCCTCTATTATTACAAATTAACAAATGTGCCCCTATACTATATTTTTGCACAAATGTACCCTTCTAATATCATAACATAACAAAAATACCCTTCCATTAAAAAATCTGTAAAGTAATTGTTAACTGGAATGGGAAAAGGCCCAATTACCCTTACTAAAACTAAATAATAATTTAATTTCATTGGATGTCGGGGAAAAAATTCATAATTTCTTTCACCCAAAAAAATCCCTAATATCCCTAATATAGTCTCCGACCAGTCGACCTTCCCACCAGTCCGGCGGTCACTCTTCACCTCCACAGTCCACCAACTCCTCCAGCAGAAACCCAGATGACACTGACTCGAGTCTACGATGAGGAAGCCAACCTGTTCGCGATGCAGCTGGCCAGCGCCTCCGTCCTGCCCATGATGCTCAAATCGGCACTCGAGATGGACCTCCTTGAGATCATTGTCAAAGCCGGCCCCGGGGCTTGCCTTTCCCCTGCCGAAATCTGCCCACCTCCCCACCAAGAACCCAGAAGCTCCCCACATGATCGACAACATCAGCCGCATCCTCGCTTCCTACTCCGTACTCACTTGCTCACTCCATACCCTCCCCCACGGAACCGTTCAGTGTCTCTACAGCGCTGCCCCTGTCTGCAAGTTTTTTTCGATGGAGAAACTAAATATCCACCGCCGGTGGCGAAATCATTCCGGGCGATGTTGATTTGATGTTTCGCGATGGAAACTCTTGCGGTACCGTTTGATCGGATGCACCACTGAATGTTGAAATCAACGTGACCGTCAAATATCCATCGTCGAGCGTTGGACGATGTTGATTTAATCGATGCACCTCTGAATGCTGAAATCAACGTGACCCCCAAATATCCACCGTCGGGCGATGTTGATCTGATCGATGCACCTTTGACTTCTAACCAAGACGACCGTTACTACGGTTCGCACCTTTTCAAACTACGTTCGAACGATGGTGTTTGAGTTTTTAGGAATCTACGTTACTGCTACTCCTATGGAGATTCCTGTGGAGAGCTCCGCGACTACGACTAAGACTATAACTATGGAGATCTTTCCTGGAAGGAGAACTTCGCAAAGGAGTTACAGAGAAAAAGGTAAATTTGGAACAGAGTTGTTCTGTGTTGATTTTTTTCCTTTCTCTCTCCTTGCTCCGCTGCTCTTATTCAAAAAAACATTTTCGTAGCCTTCACGCTCCATGAAATTGCTTCCTCAACTGCTCCGTCATGAACTCCCACGTGTCTCAACTGCCTCGATTTTGATTCTGCGTGAATCTCACGTGGAACAAAGCTACAATGACGATGTTGCTCTGGGATAACAGTGGCGTTGGACTTAGCAGGCCACCCTTGGTCGAGCTCTTACCCACTGTGATATCATTTTTAATCAAACGATATCGTTTATGATACCGCGGTGTCATTGATACCTCCCGCGGCATCGTTTTTATCTAAACAACACCGTTTAAAATAATTATTAAAAAGATTAATTAATTAAACTGCCTCATTATTGTCACGCGGTCAAATTTTCATCCCTCGACGCCGTTTAATCTTTCCGCGACACCGCTTTTCACTAATCGATGCCGACCTTGAATTGCTCCGTCCTTGTCCCATAAAAAATGTCATTTTTCATTCCACGACATTGTTCTCTACCAAATGACACCGTTTTCCAGTCTCGCGATGCCGTTGAGCTTTGAGCTTCGCGGCATCGTTTGATCCCTCCTCCGACAAGGAAAAAATAGAAACGTTCCCTTTTCCAATTCCAACAGCAGCATCGCGAGCCCGAATACATTCGTAGCCCTGACTCGCGACATGGTTTTCACTGAACAACGTCGTTCTCAACACCGCGGTACCGTCGAGCCTCTACGCGGTGTCGTTTCTCTTCTCGTCTGACAAGGAATAAACAAAAGCATTCCTTTTCCAATAACAACACCAACCCTGCTGCACTCCCACATTGTTTTCTAGTAAACAATGTCGTTTCAAGTACTGCGGTGCCGTTTTCTAATCCGTGGTGTTGTTGGCTTACTCGCGACACCGTTTTACCATCCGCGATGCCGCTTATCTTTAAACGGCGCCGTTTTTTATCACACGACATCGAATTAAATGCCGAGACTAATTAATGCGGCATTTAATTGAATCAAAAATAATTTTAGGTGTAAACAAAGTTCCTCATCAAGAACGAGGACGCGTCTCCATCGCTGCGCTCACGCTCATGAACCATGACAAGGTCATCGTGGAGAGCTGGTAATTAACTGCGTTTCCCCTGATTTGATTTCGATTAATTAACATCTATGGTTTAATTAGTTTTTTTCTTCAACATTCGAATTTCTGCTCAATCAATGTTCTCCCCGTAGCTCCAAAATTGATTTGCAGTTCTCCGCCAACACCCCACCTGATCGGGAAGCCGAATTGGACCTGGAAAAGAGCAGAACTTTGGCGTTAGCGACGGAGGAGTGGTCGGACTCGGTCTCTATTTAGAAGGAGGGAGAAATTGGTGCAGAAGTGCAAGGATTCTTCGACGTCGCCGGAGGGACGCTTTTGCTTGCGTTGGTGGATGCAGCTTTGGCAAAGTCCGAGAGAAGGAATTAAAAGGGATTGGGTCTGGACATGTGAAGGGGTGGGAGGGATGGAAATGAAATTAAATTAGGGATTCTTTTTCGTAAGGGATGAGTTGAACTGCTGCAGTTTGAAAATGAAATGAAATTAAAGTTTAAGTTTTAGTCATGTGTAATTGTGTCATTTCATACTCCAATTAACGACCACTTAATAGAATATTTAACAAAAGGGTATTTTTGTTACATTGTGATATTAGGAGGTTATGTTTGTGCAAAAATATAGTACATGGGTATGTTTGTTAATTTGCAATAGTAGAAGGGCACAAAATGCTATTAACCCATTACCCTTTTGAATTTGGAGAGATTAAGGGGTCTTTTGTTTCATGGATTTGAATAATAAAGATTTTGGTATAATTTGGATTTTGAAAAATAGGATTTTGGTATAATTCGGATTTTCAAAAATAGGATTTTGGGTTTATTATAGATTTGAAAACCCAATTGTTTGTTTCATGTACTTTATTATGCATTTTGTTAATTAAATTTGTACATATGAAGTGAAATTTACCTTTATAGCACTCAATGTTATAAGAAGAGAAAGAAAATATGAAGGTAGGTTGGTAATAAATGATTGACTTTAAAGTCAATGATCAATTGCCACCTAAAGATGTGATTTTCAAGACCATGAGACCCATGAATTTTGACCCTCAAAGTCCATGGGTCCCACGGATTTGTATCCTCAAAATACTTAGAAGCAAACAATGAATTTTGGACAAAGTCTATCATGTACCCAAACCCATCACCAAATCATTCACAATATCCATCAAGTAAACACGCTATAACAATAGAGATCGGATAGGATCATATTACATAAATGAAATCGGTTAATTAATTTTTAGCTGGGTCAACTTTTATGGTTCAGATTAAATATTTTTTAAATCATTTGTTTTTTCTCCATTGTATTTCCTTATTTTCAACTCATATTTAAAACTATTTGTGCAAAAAACAAGTTAAGAATTATCTACAAAACAATATTCGATATAATGCAAAGAGAAAAGATTATTTTAAAATAATTTACACGAAAGAAACATCTTCTTTAGGTGGGAGCTCATCGATGTTGGTTTCCCTCTTCTTCCTATTTTTCATAGGAAAAGGTTGGAATTGGTGAAAGTCCTAGCTGGATTTGTTTGCAATTGTGGAGGAAAACTTATTGTATACTGTGGAGTCGGAGATCGTCGATGATTGACTCATTACTACTGTTATTTTGTAGTGCAGTTAGTTTATTACGCTTTGTAACCGTTTCCCACATGTTGAGGTAAACGATAGTTACCATTTAAAACAGTAAAGCCATAATTTGTATAAAAAGAGACTGAAACCCTGTAGTTGGTTTTTGCGGATATTCGATCCATCTCTAATTGCTTGATATTTACTTCATGGTATCAAAGCCCAGATCTGAATCTCGTTTCTCGACTACAATGTCTGGCGCCACGCCACCATCGTTGGCGTAGGACTATGCTTCGGGACTTATGCCGAGACTTCAGAACATGGTGGCAGAGGTGAGGTTTAATTTGGAAACCCCTACTACCTCAATTCGAATGAGAATCTTTCTCAATCTATTATATTTGAGGTTTTACATCGAACAAATTACTCTATGTGGAGTCATTCGATGCGTATGGCTTTGAAGACGAAGCATAAGCTGGGATTTTGTCGATGGATCTATTCTAGCTACTACTACTACAGATACCCAATTATACTTATGGGATGGATGCAATACCTTGGTTCTTTGTTGGCTTGTTAATTCTTTGCAGAAGGAAATCACTCATAGTGTTATGAATCACGAGAATGGTCGTGTCCTTTGGGACGAGTTGAAAAGACATTTTGGAAAGCCCAATGCTCTTCATATCATTAACTTGGAAGGTGAGATGCAAGCTTGTAAACAGGGTGAAAGATCTGTTACAAACTACTATACTGATATTAAGGGGTTATGGGAATTATCTTTTCCCATTATCCCGTGTCTATGTGCACCTGGTAACCCCTACCCTTGTGCTACTGTGGAAGCTTACTTGAAATCAGAAACTGACTATCTCATTCGTTTTCTGAGAGGGCTCAACAAGGATTATGATGTGATTAAGATTAAGTTACTCCTACTTAAACCATTGCCTAGTGTGTATGTTGCAGTTAATGACATTCTGCAATATGAGCAGAAATTAAAAAAGTATCATAGAAGGAATGCCCAATCGGTGGCTTTAGTATATGGGAAAGATAAGTTTAACGGGCGACATGAAGAAAATTATGAGAAGTTGTTTTTGTAGATACCGCAAGTGAACTGATCACACTATCAAGGATGCTGAAAGCTGAAGAGGAAGGAAAAAGAGAAGCATTTGGTGTCTTTGTTGATATGTATCTCAGGAGAGTCATTCTTCTAATAGCGACAATCCTATATCAGATGGTAGTGTCAGTCCTTCTAAGAATATTATAGGGCTATCAACTTATGAGATTAACAAGCTGAAGACATTATTGCAATTTAGTGTTGATTCTGGCCCCATTTCACTTGGCTCCCCTAGGATTGCTTCTAAGGCCTTCTCAGTATTACCAATACTTACCTGTAGTTCCTAATCATGTTGGCTCCCCTAGACATTAAACAATTTGAATTAGCTAGCATCTAGATTTTGGACACTTGGGCTTCAGATCATATCATATGCAATGCGAACCATTTTCTTGATCACTCTGCTGCAAAAAACACTTAAGTTTACCTGCCTAACAATGCCAAAATTCTTATAAGCCAAGGAGGAAGTGCTAAGTTTCCCTCCGACCTTGTCCTGCACTAGACCCTTCTTACCCCCTTGCTTTACTTTTAACCTCATTCACTACAACAAATACTGTCTATTAGGACAAAAAATTTATTTTTTCATTTCTTGTTTGACACAATAGGTACGGTGATATTAAAAAAAAAAATATATGTCATATTTGGAATACCTAATGTGAAAAAAATATTGTTGTCAGAATTAGTCGTCATTCAAAGTGAGTAATGTGACGAATATTTCGAGTCACAATTAATTTTGTCAAAACAGGCGTCCCATATGGGGATGTAAGAGACTAAAAAATCTAGACGAAGAACTTGCGTGATTCAGGGGAATGATTCAGCCTCAACTCGGCGACTCGGGTAGTTGACTCTGTCGCAACTCGGTAGGTACTCGCCCACACTGAACCAGATCGTCCGTCGTCTAGTTTCCCAAATCTCTCTCCATCTTAGTTCATCTGGTATGATTTTGATTTTCTAGGGTAAAAAACTTGCCTTCTTCAACATCATCCCAGATCCGCCATAGAGGCGGCGATTCGCGGTGCATCTGCGTGGATCGACTACTAGAGGAGCGGTGGTCATGGCATCATGCTAGTGACAGGTGGGAAAGGAACCTACGAAGATGGGTTTGGGGGGATCTTTCGGGGTTCGATTGAGGTGGACGATGTCGAATGTTGGGTTTCGATTGGCTAGGGAGTTTCAATTTATGGGTTTGGGGATATTGTGTTGGGGGTTCCAATTCTGGAGGTAGAAGGGAGAAGATGGGAGATTGCTATTTTTTGGGGTTCGATTGAGGTGAAAGATGGGTTGCTGGCACCGATCTGATCGCCGGGGTAATATGCAGTTATGATAAATATATTCGTCGTGTAATATGAATAACAATTTTAACAAAATTAGCAAATTATGACAAAACTAATGACAAAATATTTCGTCTTAAATGCTCCTTTTGTCACAGTAGAATAACTAGAACATGAGCTAAACTTACAAACCAAAGTCCAATTGTGACAAACCTCTTCATTATTGTGACAAAACTATTCGTCAGTTTTTTACCAATAATATGACACGAGAATATGACAACACCTGTTGTCATTTTATATCCGATATGACAAAATGGGTATCTAATATGACAAAATTGCCTCGTCATAATAGGCCAAATTTGTTGTAGTGATTTCAGTCAGCAAACTAACTAGTGTGTTACTCATTTTTTTACACTTGCATTATGATGTATGTGAACTTCAGGACCATTAGACCCAGATGATCATTGGTTTGGCAAAACCAAGTAGAGGCTTGTATCACTTAACATTCTCCAGTCCAACCGTTCTTGACCAGATCACTCCACCCTCACAAGTTGCAACCATTTACAATTTCAAGCCTCAACCTGTTAATCTTTGGCACTGGTGTATCTTGGTGATCCTAGTAGAGATAGGTTTTAGTTTCTTAAACAACAAAATCCTCTCATTAATAGTGATCTTGTTTTCCATTATGGCATTTTTCATTTGTCCAAACAACGTAAACTTCCCTTTCCCGTGAATGAGTATTCTGCTCCTAAAGCATTTCAATTGATTCATGTTGATATTTGGGCCCCCCTGTCTATTAAATCTCATGATGGCTATGCTTATTTTCTTACTATAAATGATGATTATAGTAGGGCTATTTGGGTTTATCTCACGCACAACAAAGGTGAACCGTGGAATTGTTGCAAGGTTTCTGTTTTTTTTTTTGTGCGAGGAAAAGTTCGGCAAACAGGTTAAAACCGTTGATAGTAATTAGGGCATGGAACTCTATATGTCTGATTACTATATATCACATGGAATAGAACATCAAACTTCATGTGGTTGAAACACCAGAACAAATATTATAGTTGAGCGCAAGCATCAACATATTTTGAATGTAGCACAAGCTCTTAGATCCCAATCTAATGTCCCTTTACAATTTTGGAGTGATTGTGTACTTTTCTCAATTTTGTTATTAATCAACTTCCTACACCAGTTCTACAGAATCGTTCTCCTTATGAACTTTTGTTTTCCAAACCTCTCGATTTCAGGCAGTTGAAAGATTTTGGCTGTCTTGGTTATGCTTCCACACTTGTTCATGGCCAAACCAAATTCCAAGCTTGAGCTACTCAATGTGGTTTTCTGGGTTTCTTGGTGGCATTAAAGGTTATAAAATCAAATAAATTAATCCAAGGTCTGATAGATAACGAATTAATCGGACGAGAATAAAGATAGAGTTTTGCTTGATATTAGCAATCACAAGGTTTTCATTCCAAGGAATGTTGTTTTCTTTGAAAACATCTTGC